TTTGTCCCTTCTTTCCCTTGAGTTTGTTAGATGCCCTTATTGGCCTTATCCCCTTCATTGAAGGTCCTCTTGATTTAGTGTCCCATGAAGGTTAATTAATTTCCAAGTTTAATCTTATAGACTAATTACCCTTGCTTGTTGAAGTGATTGAAATTCGAGTACCATCAATCAAGTATAGAGCAGAAGTTGATGATTGTTGGGTTCAAAAGTTGAACTTCTGTATATCAAATATCGAATATCTAATTTATTTTCGAATTCAAAGGTGCCCTAAGCCGTAAGAATGCTTATAATTATTGATTACCCACAATTTTTTTTATGATTTAATTTAATAATTTCCCAATTAATATAATTTGCATCCTCACGGACTGGGTCAGTACTCAGTCTTCAGTCTTTTTTTTTATTTTTTACAGAAATCTGCATTTCCAGTCTTCAGTCTTTACAAAGCCAAAAGACAAACTGAAAATGAAAGTCCAGTCAACTATGGCCCACCTCCAAAATACGACGTGGAATATTATTGGCTTTGTAGTCCAATCTCAAATATGGTCTTTGAACAATATTAGATGTATTATTATTGCAATATATAATAGGCCTTCAAGCCCCAAGGTACGTAGAGGCTTTATACAATATTATATGTATTATTATTGCATCAACTAACTTCAGTTAAGCACAAAAGCCATCCACTCCCTGTCTTTTTCACTCTTGTACCTTGGAAAGCTTAAGGAATACCAAATTTCCAACCAAGGAAAAGTCGTATTTAATAACTTGTGTCACACTTGTGTGTGTATATATTTGTATTTATAAATTTTTATTCAATTATTATATAAATACTACCCACCACCCAAAGAAGGGAAGGGGAAAAAATGGAAAAAGCTCGTGCTTCTGATTAATATAAAATTTTCCATTGGCTAAAGAAAAATTGGATGATTGCATTCATAATGAAAAAGGAAATTGAATCATTATTTGAAGAAACTCGAACAGTAATATAAAATTATAAACAATTTTGAAAGAAGTGATTGTGTATTTTATATATAAGTTGCATTGACAACTCAATTAGTTCAAGTTAGAAGAGACAACTATTTACATTTACAGCGAGAATTCAATGCAAGCACGCTATCTGAAAATACCCAGAAGTTCGTATAAGATTAATACAAAGTTCTTCCAACAACACTGTTTTACTTGCTTCCATGTTTTTTTTTTTTCAAATTAATATGGAAAAGGAGATTCTCAGTCCACTGAGAGTTTTGTGTCCTCCTAGAGAATTAAAACGCCATTAACATAATCCAAATTTCCAAAAACAATGGGATAATTCAATTAAATTAAGAGAAACAAATCGGTAGCAAACGGAGAGGAGTAGTCGTCGGGTACCGACCGGGGTTTGGTCGAAGATGACAGCCAGCTAGTCAGCAGAGTAGAGAAAGGAAAAGAAATGACAAACCTGAAAAATACAACAAGAATTATAACTAAATAAATAGTAGTGGGTTTCATTTCTTTTCAATTTAACTTAATTAATTAAGAATATATCATATGCAGACAAATTCTATACCAACGACAAGAACACAACCATAATAATAATTATTATTATTTTTAAAAATCAGCAACCAATATGTTCTTTTTTATGTATGCTAATTGTTGTATTAATTACAAAAGGAATTCTGATGTATTATTGATTAACTGGTTTGTAGTAGCTGTGTGTTTTTAAATGAATTTCCCCCAAATATCCATATGGATACTACAAACAACACAAAATTATTAGACCTTCTCAAACTTGTCCACTCGTGCAACAATCATCTTATCCAATTAATTTAACACATACCCCCTAGCTGCTCCCAAGTCCTGATGCATATGATCATTTGGTTAATTTATGGGAAATCCATACATTTTATATCGAAGAATACTGTGGGTGGATTCACCTTGTAAAAAATCGTTGTAATTCATCGCTTAAGTTTTTTTTTTCATGTTCTTATAGTATTTAACCTTCTTTTTATTTCAAGATTTGCTATGACCGATTTGAACTAACGATCTTAAATAACTAGTGAAACGTTCAATGATGGGTCAACGGAAAATTCGAACATACTTTGGGTTAACTAATTGAATTTTTTATTCACAAAATTAATTGTATTGCGCTAGAATATGTGAGTCGAGGAATATGCAGTAGCTGGTAGCCAGCCAAACGGCGTCCAAGGGATATATATACTAAAGAACATAAATCTACATGTAGTGAATCCACCCAATCCCATGCAGCACATATATTATCCGATTAATGCAATACAAGTTTTTAGTTCTGGAGAACAAAGAATTGAAGTGACTCTTCCATGGCCAAATCCCCACAAGAATAGGATAAGGGCCAAGCAAAAATACCATCTTGTCCTTAAAAAAGAAAGTGGTTTGGGGTTAGATAGGGACATACAATATTCTTTTCTATGATTTCTGGATGTACGATTTATCAATCACATTTCTCAATGTACAATTTTTCAATCACGTTGTTTCTATACGAATCTGGTGCAAAAAATCATGTATTTTGGATTCAATTTCGTGACACGCACGGGCCTTAATTCGTGGAAAGATTAAGGCATATATGGTAATCACATGGGCCGCAAGAGCTTAATTCTCCTCATCGTGATGTTAAAGAAAGGACATAATAATGTCGAAAAGGTGGCACTCAAATCCGACCGACTCTATACGGCGTGTGGGGAAGTATGGAAGCATGTACAGAAATCGACCCACCATTCACCAATTAACTATCTGCACGCACTTCTAATATAACTCTTTTGCTCCCCTTTTTCTCTAATCAATTCAGGTAAGAACAAATTGATTAGGGTGATATGATTAAAGCGGAGCTCAAAGTAAACAATATGTTACTCAATGAGATCATAAGAGATCGCTTTTCGTTTGCCCACTTAGATTCCGATTTTTGCCCTTACTTCCACATGAAAGCCAGCAGCTTTTGCGGCCGTGCAAAATTGACAATGTGATTATGGGGAAATGATTGCCATAGTAACTAACTAAGTTAAGTCCGCATGTTAACTAATTAGAGAGGTCAGCCTATATGGGATGGTAACGTGTATCACACCTTTGGTACATTAGGGTTAACAAATATATAAGGAAAATGAAGGGATTGGCCAGGTGATTTTGGTTTGATATATATAGTTTGATATGGGAGAATTATGACTCACAGTAATCAAATCTAACAGAAGTCGACGAATCGTAATTTTGTAGAAACGCGAGAGATAGATTGTGATTGATATCACGGAAAAAATCTTCTTTTTTTTTTGCACTCCATACAACATGAAAGGTTGAATGGAGTGATGTCCTTTTCGGGAAGCACACGCATGCATTAAAAAAGCGTCGGCTTTTCGTACTTAGCTGGGCATAAGAAGCCTTTCTGTGATGAACATGATCTTTATTCGGCTCGAACATTTGCATCAACAAGTTCCGCCTATTTACCAAGAGATGTAATGAGAATCGTCACTCGAAGTCAAGAATTTCACAACTACATTTTGGGTGTTACGGTATCAACCCCCGATGGATAAAACCTAGCCGCCTCTATGGCACAATAGAAGATGAAATGAAACTAGGGCTGACAACCGGTCGGTTTCGGTTTAACCAAAAATCGAATTCTCGATTTTCGGTTAAACCGAGACCTGACTAGAAGTCACCGTCAACCGACCGACCCCAGAGCCCCGGTTAGCCGCAAACCGACCGGACGGTTTTTGGTTCATGCGCGGTTAAACCGGGGCAACCGACAGATTGATGGGCGATTCGGTTCAATGGCCTAACCGACCGGGAACCGCCCTGATTCTTAACCATTCATCCCCAATTCATCCCGTTTCGGTTCCGCCATTCATCCCCAATTCTCAACCATCAACATTAAAAAATCAAAACAGAGGACATTCATTCATCATCCAGCTTCCTGTCCATTTTCCCAATTCTCAACCAAACAAAAATCCACACCCCTCGCCCAAACCCATTTCCCCAATCTCCATCCCAAATCCCTATCCCTAACCACAAACTCTGCAATCTCATCTAATTGAAGGGCGGCGGCGACTCGCTAGGCTCGGCTGGGATATTGGCGCCGGCGATGGAGGTCAGGAGGGGGAGGGAGAAGGCGGAAGAGGCCTCGGGCTCTCGGCGGCCGGGATACTGGCGCCGGCGAGTAGGGAGGTCCAGGCGGGGAAGGAGGTGTGGCGGTGTGGGGGAGATCTCGACGCGAACGCGAGGGGTGTCGCCGGGGTCGAGCCGTCGAGGGGGTCGCTGGGGGATCGTGGAACGTCGCCGCGCGTCGCTGGGAGACGGCGGTCGGTGGTGGAACGCGGGGTAGATGGGAGGGTGGAGTTCTTCTTCTTCTTCGCCGGTCGGCGATGGAACGCGGAGGCGGCAGGAGGGTGGAGGCGGGGTGAGTTTCTTCGTCTTCTTCTTTCTTCTTTCTTCTTCTTCTTCTTCTTCTTCTTCTTCTTCTTCCTCCTCCTCCTCCTCCTCCTGGATTTGGGAAACTTTGCAGATGTGATGTGAGAATGGCGATGAATGAATCTGGATAGGATATTGGGAAGGTTAAGTGGGTCTCGGGTGGGCCTGGTTAGTCGGATAACCGCGGTTAACCACCGTCGGTTACTCGGTCAACCGACCCCTTCTTTTTCCCATCCGACCACCGACCGTCACAATAACCGGTCGGTTTTCGGTTAGCTGGTAACCGGTCGGTTTTCGATCAAAACCGACGGTTACCCGCTAACCGGAAATCGAAATGCCAGCCCTAAATGAAACCATTAATGATCAACAAGGCACAATAGAAGATGAAAATGAAACCATTAATGATCAACAACAACAATTGTTTCAAGAACAAGAGTACATGAATCATGATGTTAGATCCTTCCTACCTTTATGGGTCTGAGCAACTAGGTGATATTGGTAGGAGAGCAGTTGACCACCACCAACGACAATTAATCATTGGAGCAATGATATGTACAATGCGTTGGGAGCAAAGAATAAACTTGGATGAAAGAATCACAAATTGAAATAATTTATCTTAAATGCATGAGAAACTTGTCACTATATCTTGGATTACAATGCTCATCTTCCAGCTAAAAATGATTATCCCTTCTTTGATCTTGAACTCTACAGAACGTTGGTTGGTAAACTCATTTATACAAGAACTTCATAACTTCCAAATACATCATCTTCATCCAACAGACTCTACTATCACTCAACCATATACATGGTTGAAAATCCCACCTTGCATGAATGAACCAAACTCATTGAGTTGTATTGTCACTTAGTAATTAAGAGCTCGGATTAGTAGCATTATTCATATCTCCACAACACATCAGTTAGCAGGTCTCTTCAGCAAGTCTCTGCCTCCAACTCCATCCATCTTTCACTACTTACTCTTGTTTAACACCTTAATTTATAGTTTATTAATCTATCAGATTCTTGATAAGACTCCCTTATTACAAGAATTCATACTTAAAGAGTTTTTATAATTAATATTTTCTCAAGAGTAGGTAAAACCATAAAAAAATTCTAAACACCTAATTTTCTTAACCTGCCTAGATCGGCCAACAAGTGGAGATGGAACTGACATGTAAAACAAAACCTCCTCCTCGAGGTTAATTAACAAGGAGTATAATTAGATATGATTAGGAGGTTTTTAATCAAATAAAGCAAAGCAGGCTCCATTATTATTAGCAACCTGAAGACTGATTAATAAAATAAAACACACATCGCTTTCGTCTAGTTTCCCCTATGCAAACAAATTGTACGGGCGCGGCCCCCTTCTTTTACAAAATCAAAAGAGATTATATTTAACAAATAAAAGTTACCTAAACCGCTGTTTGCTTTGTTTCTTTCGTTGATTACTATTCATTTAACTTCAGCATTAACGACATATTAAGACTTAATTATCTATTTTGAAGGGGTAGAAGACGGTAAACACAGAGTTACAAGGAATCGGCCCGTCGAGAGTGAGACCTTAGTAAAATTCTTCCTACTAACAATCAAAAAATTTAATCTTGCATTTTTAGGTGGACTCAAAAAGCGATATTTTCTTACAATTATGACGTGGCAGGAGTATTTATTGTTTAGTACAGATGTACACTAGTCATTGAGCCGCTGGGAACTAAAAGAATTATTTATTTATATATTAATTTATTCTCTTATAATGGATGAATAGCATTAGCATATAAGCCAGTGTATGTTGTGCACTACCACACCATCTTAAGATCAAAGTTGGCTTGGTCTAATGACTATGCATAAATTAATTAAATAAAGCTGTCAATATACTAAACTTATAGTTGATGATACTAGAAAATATTTTCTAATCACGAGCTTAATCTGGATTTTGTAACTAATTAATTAGCTTCAGCTGTACATAACAAGCTCAAACTTAACACAGAATTGTTGGGGAAATGATTACCCAGCTCAATGATTGGTTCCATCCACTAGAAGAAGGAAAAAAAACAGTATCTTAACTTAATTGTGAATCATCATTGTGGCGCAATATATTTTGGGAAAAGAAAACCAGAGGGGAAAAAAAAAATTCCAAGTCAACCCCAAGTCCCCAACAGACAAGAAACAGAGCTTAGGCCTGTAAATTCTGTCGGGAACAAGGAGCAGATTAGATGTTCCGGAACAACGAAATTAAACTGAAAATAAATAAATAAAAATTAACGATACCTTATCATTATCATTATTATTATTATCAACACTGTAACATAATTAAAATTAGGCTCACGATCATCTGTCTCTTTGTACATACTTAATTAACCTCATCATGATTAACTGCCGGAACAGGAAATTCATGCTCCCAGATCCCTAATTAATCCGTCATTAACAATAACAATAAATTGATCATCATTATCATCGCCGGAAACTCACTGAACCTCCTCAATCTCCTGCTGCTTTAATTACCTCGGACAAGCTAACGGCCAACATTTGGCGACGGTCAAATTCCCGTCTCTAAAACCGCGATGTTCTCGTCCCGTAAGAGCTTCTTCTTCGTCGCTATAAAGCTCTCCACCGTCATATTAAACTCGTCGTTGTTCATCTCCTCGATCGACTTCCTCGCCTGGTTGAAACTCAAGCTCTTCCCCAGTGCCGCCGCCGCCTCGGAGGCTGGTTTCCTCCTCGCCTTCATCACCACCGTCTCCGACCGCCGCAGCTCCTTTTTATCACAACCTTTTTCGTGACGGATGCTATTACCACCACCACCACCACAACTTTCCGTCGCCGTTGCCTCAACCACCACCGATCTCGTCCTCCGCAGCCGGCTCCCTTCCTTCCCGTCACCAAAACCCTCCTCCGCCGCCGCCGCCGCCGCCGGCTCAACCAGTCCGTCGGAAGCATTATCCGACGGCGGCTGAAGCTCTTCCACTCCGCCGGTTGGCCGGCTCGACAGCGAGACATACTCGTCGTATATGTCCGAGGGGAGGGGAGAAGATTCCGGTGACGATGAATTGACGACGACGTCCTTGTCGGCGGCGGCGATGGTGTTGTTGGCGGCGGCGGTGGAGAAGTGGTAGACGAAGATGACGATGGCGTTGGCGACGAGGAAGGCGCAGAGCTGCTGGCCGAAGACCGAGATGTAGGCGGAAGCCATCTGCGTTAAAAACGGAAGCGTTTTGAATGACCAGAGGAGGAGAACCGTGGCGCCGAGCAGCCGGCCGAAGTATAAGAAGTTTTGCTGCTGATTGAACTTTCTGATGGCGTCGGCTTTCTCCGCCTTTAGAGAGTAGGTGTCGTTGCTAAAAGTGAAAGACATTGCGTCTTTTTTTTTTTTTTTATAGCTTTTGCTGCAAAAGTTTGGTTTCTGGGAAAATTAGGGGTATTTTCCAGAGAAGGAAAGTGAGTTAATTTGGGGGATATGTTTTTTTTTTAATTATTTTGTGGGTCTGTTTGAGAAAGGAAGGATGAGGAGGAAGGAGATGGGAGAGGAGGGTTTTTATAGGTTTAGAGTTTAGAGAGAGTTCCTCTACGGGAGAGAGAAAAGGCTTTAAGTGTTTGAGAATTAGGTAATAGTGTCACTTCTTAATTAAGAAGAATCTAATAGATACATAAAATAGAGCAAGAACAATGAAAGAAACTATATAGAAAAAACATAGCAAATGATTACGAGTTTTCTTCAAATTCTATTATGAAGATGATTTCGACTTAATTTGTTTATCGACATCTGTCGTGATCTTTTTTATGCATGTATATTTCTTTGACTTGCAAGTTATAATGGGAGACCAAACATAAATTTTTTTTGTCTTATATTTAATTTTATTCTCACTAATATATACTAGTATTTTTCATGACTTATCTACCACCATACTTTTTACACGTTAGGCTCTCACTAAAGCTTAAAGAGGGAGGGAGAAGGTATTCAACGAAAAGGAAAGGATGGAGAAGGTAGTGAGCTTTTATGAGTTGTGGAATTTAAGAAAATATATAGCCTTTTTATCAAGTCCATAAAAATGCATATGTATATATATGAGTTTCATTGGAAGTAGTAAATTTCATAATTATGAACCGTGAGTTCTTTTATCAAAACCCTCCTATAAAAACAAATAAGTACTTTCATTTTAGTTAATCAATCAATAATCAGTAAGAACTCAAAAGTCATTAATTTACAGCAACAGGGGAGCTCCATACAAGATGCGTTGCGGTCAGAGCCGAGACTTGAAGTGATCAGAAGAGACAATGACGTATCCACACATTTCTATTATATATTTTCTGCCGGATAATTAATTTTTTTTAAAAAAAGGTAATACGAAGGGATTAAGAAATAAGGAAATTGGTTCCACCATTCATATGCATTTGTTTGTATTATGAAATTTTTATTATTTACGACATAATGATATTAATAGTCTATTTATTGTCTATAATAATATTACCTATCGGCGCAATAAGGAAGATCCATTCCCACTCATCCCCATATTACAATCCATCATTGTGGGGATCGATTCGATTATTATACATAGTATGTACAATGTTTGTAATTAATTACTATCTGTCTCGTATTTTGTCCCCCATTTTTTATGAATTAGTTTTTCAGTGTCCATCCACTTAATGTCTTAGTTGATCCATTATTCGGAACAATTGGGTCTTCCAATTGGTATCGTAATTTTTTTATGTGATGAATTCAAGTTCTGTGATTTTCTTGTCGAATTCCTCTCATTCTGCTTAGTTGTGGTTATGATATAGTTCATATCTATCGGAAAATAAGTCGTTATACGGGTAGTTTTGAGATTGGAATTTCACAACTTTCAAGAATACATACATTTTATAAAAAGTAAAAATTTTATTGTTGGTATTAATCTGAGTGATTGCTCTTTTGGGCGTTGAGGTTGCATGGGAGTTCCATGAAGAAGCCCGGAGTAGTAAGTAACTGTCCACCTTCACCATGCATGCAGAAGTACTGAAGGCAAAGTGAAAGTGAGAAAAAAGGGGGAATTTCTTCACGTAAAGCAGCAAAGAATGAAGAAGATAGATAAGAATTGTGGAACCCAAAATGGTAACCCAGAAAAAAGGGTAAGCTGTCCTTTGGATAAGAAAAGACAGAGGAGGATTGGTACACGGGAATCCCCTCCCCAGGCCCATCAAGGGGGGAATTCATGTCTTTCACTAGCCCAATAGGCCGGGGTTTTGGAGTTTATTGGGTCCGAATAGGCCCAGGAATAAATCTACATCTACATCTTCTACACAATATATTATGCATTTCACTCTATGTCATCATTGCCACCTTGCATTTTGATTGGTTCTCCTTATTTGGTGGAAGGACATATTTGACAATTTTTCAAACACTCAAGGGTCACTCATTTATTATTGGACTTTTGGTTTTCTTTTTAGTAAATGCGATTAGGATTAAGGAAAAAGAAGATGTGTTTTAAGGTAAATGCTACATAATAATTATTTAAATTTTGCTCTATGTGGATTTATTTTGTGTGGTTAATGAAAAAACAGAGGCTATCTAAAGTTGTTTAACTCCTACATGAGATAATGCTGCGAATTGGATTTTGATATGATAAAGATGATATATCGTTGTGGTGTGGATGTTTGGGAAGAGGTTCCTTCGGAATAGGTTTTTTCGCATTAGGGTTTTAAGTTAAACAGATAAACCAAGCATCAACCTTCAAAAGTTTTAGAATCTTAATTTCACAGTGATTTTGGCAAACATGAAGAGGAAGAAAGACGGGAAATCTTGGCAAAATACAATCAATTTATATTGTTTTAAATTATTTTAATTTTCAAATTAGCATGTCTAATTTTTACATTAAATTTTGAAAGGTAAGATCGCATGTTTAGTCGTAGGTTAAACAATAATTCGATCCATATTGTACCGATTCGATATTTGTGTCGAATTAGATCAAACAAAAAAATCAATTTTTTACTCTATGTAATTGCTTAAAGTCGAGATAGTTTTTATTAGAAAATTATTAAACATAAAATATGGTCCAATGGAATAACTTAAATGCTTCTTCAACCTAACTACGTTGTTATTTACATCTGAATAGTTCCATTAGCGATTAAAAAATAGTTGTATAATGATAAACCGTTAATCATGAGTCATTGAAATTTTTCATCCGACAACCGCTCCGCTTTTGAAAATATAGGACATAGTCAATAAAATATTTAAAATATGAGCATATTGTTAAAGGTTAGTTTGAATTATGATAACTAAAGTTCAACTGATTGAATAACTTAAAAGGGTCATTTCAAGTCAAAATATTCTTTTACTAATATTTTTCATTTTTGTCTCTTTCAAAAATATAAATTTAATATATCTATACTAATATTTTTGGATTTGCTTTACATAGTTGTCCAAATAATCTATTTCCATATCACATTTTTTTCTCCTCGAATTTTTGTATCTTTAAACTATTTAAATGTAATACATCTATAGTAATATTATGTACATTATTTACTTTTTAATTCAATAGATGACAATCAACTATATTTAAATTAAAATAGTAATAAAATTTTCAAAGCTTCATTTGCAAGGTAATTATTCACATATAACGAAGATAAAAAATTTTGTTGATTTTTTACTGATTCAGTGATGTTTAATATCTCAAGGCATGAATATAGATTCCAGATAGTTTTTCATTTAATTCATTGTATAACTTAAACTTCTTATAATTTAACTTAAACATAAACTATCAAAGTACTCTTTTGTATCACCAGTGCACAATACTAAAAATGGAACCACCTAAGTTTAACTAAAAAAAATACCCAAATGACCACAAACCGGTCAACGGGCCGGATACAACACTAGTTATAATTGTTTGTGGCCGTTAGGGACGTAGTACATGAGATTACCGGATTGGTCCAGTCTAGAATCGAGCAAAGGAGTAGATTAGAGAATAAAGTGAAAATATGATGATCACAGGATTAATAAGTTCATTCGATTGTGTTTCTTTCTTCCTTCAATAAACTCATTAGGCCTTTTAACTCATAACAGATTTTAGTTTGGAAATCTTTTTTGTAAAATCATATATTATAAAGTCAACTAACCATTAGAAAAGCATTGGAACGAATAGCATGTAGAACAAAAAAAATGCACGAAACTAACAAGACAGTCCACACATTTATTATCCTCTCTCCAGTTTCTATACAACAACTCATGAAAACTAAAGGATTGTTGTTGTATATATGCTGATGATTGCTATCGTTTGAGCTCTGTACGTAGTAACTGAACATCGTAGTGTGAATCAAATTGTCCATATACCCATCTATAACCGACATTCCAAACCAACCAAAAGGTTATTTACTATGCCTCTCAACTCTGTTATGGTGATGGAGCATATTCGCAAACACGAAGGCACACGAAGGTGGATTCAGGGGGCCTGCCCCCTAGCCACGGCGCCACAACCCTGCTCTGGATTCAGAACTAGTATAGTACTTGTTAATTTTTTATTATAGGTATTCGTTTCGACAAGTTATGGCCATGTCCTCTCGGCCAATCTTTCCAAATGTGGCCCAGAACTCTACCCTATTCTGTATCCGCCGCTACACACGAAAGAGTAGAAAGTCGCGAGTCATCCGCTTTTAGGCATCACAGATTTATCTTGTCAAAATATTTCTTCTCACACGGTTAACCGAAACTTAGTCTTATTCTAATCACACTATGCGACATACATAGGTGATGTATAGAAGAGAGGATCTTTAGATGAAATCTTGTCGGGGGGAGGAACTTACCGGTAATCAACAACCTAGTTTGAACGGTCATTCCATGTTTAGCAATAAACTAATTAATTAATTGCTATGATGAATTATTCCAAACACGGCTAATTAACATAAATTAAGCCCAGTGCTCAAATGTTTAATTGAGTAGGTAAATTAGGGTGATGCATATCTTCAATTATATCCATTTACCTTACCTAATTTGTTTTCCTTTCTTCCTAATATTCTTATTATTACTATTATATAGTACAAATTATCTCTATGGGGTCATCATGTACCTAATTAAGACTCCATTAGGTGAAAATACAATTGTGGATAATTACTTATGAACTCGGACTATTCCTACACTTGCGCTATTTTCCTTATAAACTAAAGGAAGTGGGGGTGAAAGCAAATTATTATCCTTAAATCTTAGCATAGCTTTATCTAACATTGCTTTAGGGGGGTTGGCAGGCAGATGATGAATTAAAGGTTCTTCTTTCACATTTTCACCCTCAATTATTTCACTTACTTAATTATTTGAGTCCATACGTCATTTTCTTTGACTAATTGCTACCTTTCCACCAAGATTATGCAAAGGTTGAACATAATTTAAAAAAGAAAACCCCAACTTCCCCTAACACTTAGCAAACGATGTTTTACCGTGTATGTAGGCCCCGTTTGTAGATGAAACAACTTGCGTTTAACTTTTTTCAGTATTTTAGCAGAAAATATTATTGAAAGTCGGGCCAATTTATAAATATAGATCATATCTACTGTCATTACGAATGTGACGAGTAGCCCAAATGAGTTGATGTGTGATGACGGCGATTTCATGACAACTAGGAGCCTAAGCTTGTGCATCTCTTTCTCGACCTATCGATCTAAGTCTCTTTGATTTTGATATCTATATTTCTGTTTTGATTTTCTAACTATATTTAAATCATCGAGTGTCATCTTCTCTTCAAATTGCAATTTATTAGGATTGTGGCATTCCCTTCCCTTTTGGTTGGATCCAGGCCTGATCTATTTGTGCTCTTTTTCTTTTTCATTAGGACTGCAATTTGCTATGACATGGTGACGTGTCAAGGTGCGCAGGGATTTGTATATAGGCGTTGGGCCGTGCTTGGGCCGGCACGGCACGGGCACGCTTCGGGCCCATTTATTTCGTGTCGTGCTTGGCACGGCCCGTCAGTTTTCGTGTCGTGCCATGCAAGCCCATTTGTCAAATTTGCTAGGCCCGACCCAGGCCCGGGCACGGTTCAAATCGTGCCGTGCCTATTCGTGCTCGTGCCATGCTCGTATTCGTGTTTAATGAAAATGACGAAAACAAAAGAGAGAATGAATAAGAAGGTGAAAATTGGACCGGGGAAGATAGTATTAACCAATAATGTTTGAGAAAAGTAACAAATAGAGGGGGGGGGAGAGAAAATTGAAAGTATAGCGAGTGTGATTTGGCTTTGTTTAATTCTTTGTCCATTTTTACTTATATTAGTAATTACATATATATCTTTATGACACTTCTAACAACAACAAATAATTATTTTTCTACATGTGTTTTGTAATATTTGAACCTATAATTCTTTTTATACTTATTTTCTATCAAATAAATATTATTTTCGTGCCATGTTCGTTCTTATACTTAATAAAGTCTCGAAAATATTAGGCCCGACACGGCCCAGTTATATATTGTGTCGTGCTCGTGCCCGTGCTCATGACGTTTAGGCCCGGCACTGCCCATAAATTATTCGTGCTCGTGTCGGGCTAGCCCATTTATTTCGTGCTCGTGTCGTGCTCTAACCGTGCCGTGCCGTGCTAGCCCGTGGGCGGCACGGCCAGGTGCCCACGTACAGCAGGGATGCTTAAGATTTGCTACTAGGGGAATGTAGTTTGAAAGCACCTATGCAGTCGAGTCGCAAGAGATATACAAAGTAAAGATCGTGGGAAGCTTCATAAGGGCAATTCAACAGGTAAATCACTTTACAAGTTTTACTTTTCTCTTTAGAACGTTTTTCTGGAACGTTGGTCATAACAGTAACATCAGAGACATTTTCTGAAACATTTTTCTAGAAAAAGACTGACAATTCAACAGGCAAATCACTTCACAAATTTTACTTTTCTCTCTAGAACGTTGGTCATAACAGTACCATCAGAGACTTAATGCAAATGTTCATTTCTAGTTGTAGTCATGGAATCGTAACATAGATTCAATTTCATATGTGCATAAAAATTCCCGCTCAGACAATGTTTTAAGAGGCAATGATAATGTCATCAAATCTATATGTTCGCACATGGACGAATTCCTGTATTTTAACAATCCCTCCACCGAAGATGGTGGCGTTTTGTTTACTTTAGTCCTTATATAGCTTCAAATTAGCTTCACATTTGAGATCAACAGAAGCCAAATGATTTGTCCTAAATTACCGGTCGTACCAAGTAATCCGGTGAAACTGCTGACAGAAAACTTGAACTAAATTCACAATTTCACGTCAGCTGCTGAAGTGCTGAACAATAGTGGTTGGATAAAAGATGGTGCCAAACCCACCTACGAATCTCAGTGTGAAGCTTGCCTCAGTTGCAGATAAGCTTTCCCTGCTCTGTCATCGTTTTAATCCAAAGGCAAACCATATTACAGTAGCTAGCTTGTTATCTTCTTCCATGGAAAGCTGACCCTTTTGCATCTACACCACTTGGACTTGAGTCCTTATGATAGTCACAATTCACAACACAACACAACACAACACTGGCTCTCGAAATATGAGACTCCATCATAGTAAAAGCAGGCATGGCTAAGGATGCTCTTGCCCTGATCACCCTATTCCTCTTCCACTTAGTTTCAACTGGTGAGATTCAGACCTAAAATTAACACGACTTCCCATCTGACATCTACTCTTAAGACTCCCACAGGCTCAACTTGAATTCAATGGAATTATGCATAACTCTGGCAACTGCAAATCGACAATGCAAGAACTGGAAAAAGGCATTTAGTGGAGCTTGTCATGCACAGTTCCCTGGATTTGCTTGCTTCTGCTATATCAAATGCTGAAATCAAAAGTTCAACATATGCTGCCTGCTGCTGCTGCTGCTGATGTTTCATGTTTCCTTAAATAAGCCATCCATGGCATGTATTAGACCATAGACAAATCTGTAGAGGCTCTCAACTATATCCAAATACAGTGTGAGAATGAATTATGCTAAAAGATAGTCTCTTTTCTCTATATGCCACCCAAAAATGCTCAGAATCGAATCCGCCATGAACGCTAGGAGGATTGAAAGAATATTCAGCTCGATTGAAGAAACAGCTCTGAAGTGCAATACTTACTGGGACATTTTATCGAACACATTATCTGCAATTTCATGTTGGGGCAAATTGTACTTCACAATTCTCAAACTGAACAGAGAACCCAATTACACCAATCTGAAACCTACATACACCAGCTGCGAGTTGTTCACTGTTCTTTCTACTTCTTCTTGCCCTTTCCGGATTTCTTCCTGCTGGGCAAAACAATCTCGCCCTTGAGCACAGGGATCTGCATAAGCTGCGTCAGCTCCCCGAACTTCTTCCGGAACTTCTCGACCTGGTCCGCGTCCACAAGCACGCCGGAGCGGTTCCCCAGGTAGAAAGGGTGGTTGCCGGACCAAACGTCAATGTTGTACTCCTCCTGTGTCCCGCCGGTGGTCATCACCAGCTCCCCGTTGCAGTACACTTTGGAGTCCGTGTGGAACTCCGGGTGTATCTCCTTCTTCCGGCACGTTACCTGCAGACCTCCGCATCCTCCGCTATTCCTTCCGGCCACAGCCTTCGCCTGTAAATTTCGGGAAGCATTGAATGAAAATTCCCCCAAAAATGGAACCGCCGCAGAGAAGAAGTAATTCGGGCGGTACCTTTGTGGCGGAGAGCAGCGGAGGAGAGATGGATTTGATTTGGAGGAAAGCGTTGGTCAGTACTTGCGCCATCTGTGTTTGGAGAAGAGGAGAGGCGAAAGCTCGAAGCAGTGAAGCAGCTTGTGGGTGGAGGAGGGGACGATGATGTGGCTGGTGAAGAAGATGAGGTGATCTTCTTAGTGGTCATTGGGCTTTATGGACTATCTTTGGGCATCTTGTCTCTGTTTTCTGTATGGGCTTAAGTTCACGATTCATTTGGGCCATTTAAGCCCGTTGCCGTTGTTCCCGAACAGGTTGCAGAAACTCGTTTTGATCGACCGAAATTGGCTGCAAAACACTGCTACCTCAAATTAAAACCGACGGGCATAATTGATGCCAATTTCTTTAATTTTTTTTATTAAATAATAGCTTCGGTGGGTATATAATCCAACAACTCCCTATATTAATTGTTTATCCGTTTCTTGTTCCAATATTAATTTTGTCAAAATTCGTTACTAATTGAAGCACGTTTTTTTTTATAATTTACTTGTCACGTATGTTTGAAATTCATGTTATGCTTTTCGAATCAACAACTATTTCATCTCAATAAAGTGTCATATATGACGAAGCATTATAAAAAAAAATTCTAACTAATTTGATCGAATTTCTAACGGAGATATTAAAATTTTAAACGAAAAAACAATAGCAAAATCATATATTTGTTAAATATTGAAAGAAATAAAAACCCCAACATCTCATTTACTATTTCACTAGACTGCTTTTACTGTGCCTTTAGACTCATGTTTACTGTTATAGCTTGGAGTGGACTCGGGTGCATTGGCGGATCCAGGGGTGGCCACCCCAGGCCCCGGCCCAGCCCTCCTCTGGATCCGTAGTTACTATAGTCCTTATGAAATTTTTGATTTTAGACATTCAATCCAGTGTTATTCTATGATAAGATTGGGTTTAACTAGAAAAATTATCAAGTTGAACATATTCAAATCACTATTCTAAATTTAGCCTAGAAATTTTAGCCCCAAAGATTATGCGTCTTTAAAAAACAATGAAACCTAAAATTCTAAAAAGTTAAAAACGTAAAAGACTAAAAGAAATATGAGGTTTGTTCCCTTACAAATTTACTAAAGCAGCTGGTGTGCAGAGATGGACACACAATGTAAATTGATTAGTCGATTGATTTACCTAGTGTTGATGCTGCTCGTTTCAACAGCTACTACGAAGAGAACCTTTTTAACAATGAAACATGTGAGAACTGATTTGCTCAACAAAATGAGCAATGAATTTCTCGCCGATTGCTCAAGTATTTTATTTGAAACAGTGTATACTATTGGTATGGATGTAGACTTCATTATTGATGCATTCCCTAAATTAAAATACAGTTGTGTACAATTTACATTGCAAAGAACTATAATCATTATATTTTTTTTACAGTTCTAATTTTCTAATGAAATGCGGCACAGTGCTCTTCTGTGTTCTGGATCCGCCGCTGCTCGGGTGTGGGCGGTGCATGGTGTTCCCCAATTGGTTTCTAATGAGTCAGTTCTCTTTGGACTGCTGATTGGACATACGGTTTGCTAAATCTTTATGGTTCATGTGGGTGGCCCTGGTTGGAACTTGGTTGCATTCCAATGACCGATCCCCGCGTTGATGACTAGATGGAGCAGTTGTATCTTGGGGGCTGGGTTTGGTTCTCAAGATCGAGATACGAGAGGATTGGCGTCGCTCAGAGACAGAGTGAGGGGGCTATCAGTACAAAGAGATTGACAAATGACAAGGGGTGTGATCGTGGCTGTTTTTTCACCACATAATTTTTGTTTCAATTTTGTTCTTACCAAAAGTACCACTGACACAAGCAATACACTATCTTGACTCTAATCATCACAATCCCACCGATTTGACAAGAGAGAGTGGGCAAGGTAAGAGCTCTCCTCTTTCTTTTTACTCTCTCGACTCTCTTATCCGCTCTCTTTCTATTCCCTTTCATAACTTCTTTCTTTCTCTTCTAAAATTATTCTGTTTCTCTCCCATGTCTTCTTCATTCTTTGAATTGTGACAATTTCCTCTCTGTTTTGGTTGTTTGTTCTCATAGGTCTCTCGGTGGTGCTCGAGCTGGATGAATGCGACACTGGTAGAATGGCGGGCTGACTGCAACAAAGATGTTATATGTGGGATTGTAATTCCTCCTGCGTCCGGCAGAGACATTTCCAAGCCAGATGAGTTCGCAATCTTCTCTTTTCTTTTTCTTCAGTTTTTTTATAATGCCAGCTATTTGATTTATCCGGTTTTCTTCCATCCCTTGCTAGAAGACGACTGGAATTTCAGGCTGATTGAGTCGGGGATATGAGGCGTTTAGTGAGATTTGGGAGAAGAATCAGATCCACAGATCATCGTTTTGGGTAAGGTGATCATTCTCACTCACTCGCGTGTTTATAATTTAATTTCTTTTCATGGGTTCTAGCTCTCCTGCTTCGGAAGGGTCCATTTAATCTCTTTTTCAAGGAGACTCTGTGGTTCGACTTTTTTTGTAAGGATTTCCTAGGCCTGGGGTGTTCGTCTAATATCAGGAAAAATCAAGCAAGTTAAGGTTTGTTTGGAGTTCTAGAGTGCTCAAATGGCGGATTTCGAAGCTTTATATGGGCTTGGAAGAAAAACCACATCCCCAGTCGTTGAACTGCTGAGGTATTATCCATAGTCTCCCTTCTCCAATTCTTTGCACTTTATGTTTGCTGTTGACTTGCTCTGATTCATGGGTTGTTGGGTTTACATATGGGATTTGCTCGACATGTAGCAAGCATATCTGGGCAAGAAAAGCTACTGCCATGGTGTTGGTTTCTTGGTAGCCTATTATTTTGTCTCTGTTGTCTTCTCTTTGCCGGTTCTTTCTAACCTTTTTGTGCGGTTTTGAACACTTGTGCAGATGCTAATGATTCGAGCTTGCTTAACTTTTCTGCCCTGGTATACATAATTTCCTTACGTCTTTAAAATTCAGGTTCTTGTGTTTTCCTTCTTGGTCACAGTGGTGTTTTCCATCCGAACGACTGCGTGAACTCTGTGTAACCATTCTTATAACCATTTATTGCAGATTTTGACATTTACTTTGTTGGTATCTGCAAAAATGGTAGCCAGCCTCGCTGCTTCCCCGAGCTGATTATTGTAGTTTCAGTTGCCCTTTGATTTTGAAAGGTTTGTTTGGTATCGAACTTTCTGTTACTTAGATCTAAATGCCTTGCTTCGATAAAGTGTATTCTTTACAAACCTAAACTACGCCTTTCCATCACTAGGTCTAGATTTCCCTTGTGGATTGTGATTATTATTTATAATTTACACTGTGCAGTGTGGTGCTTCCAATAGCTCGGGTATGTCAAAAGCATCCTGGTATATATATCCTATTTGTGACGCATTTTGTTTTGGGTTATGATTAGGATTGAATGAATTCATTATTCCTGTAGTTTTGCAAAACTCGAGCTATGTTACAAAATAGTGCACTTAGCAATGTAGTCAAAATCCCGATTTTAATCTTAAAATCTTACGATTTTACGATCTTACCTATGAGTTCCGATCCTGATTTTACTGTAAAATCTTTGAACCTTAAAATCCCATAAAATCCCGATTTGAAACTTTTAAATCCTTAAAATCTACGATTTTGTACGATTTCAAGATTCAAATAAATTGGAGCAATATTAGTCTGGTTAAGTCGATTTTTTCACATGAACCAAGTCAAGTTTCCTTCCCCCGACCCAACATAATGAACAACACAACCCTAACTTGATAGACAACCCTCAATTTATTTTCATTCTCTTCCTTGTATCTTCTTCTTTCACACGTCTACGCCCAACTTCTTCCATCAACGACATCATCCAAACCTCCATTCCATTGCAAGCTTTCGTTCATCTCTCAATCCTTCATAACCACTAACCCCGACCTTTTATCAATTAAGAAGGGAATGCATCAATCAACTAGTTATCTTTGTCAAATGATGGTGGTTAAGGAAATATGGTTAATGGTGAAAGTACTTCAATTGATCCTAAGAGTAATGATATTAATCCTCAAGCAAATAGACAAGGATGAGGGGAGGGTGAAGGTGAGGATGATGACGATGATGTGTAAGTGATGTCAGTGGCGGATCCAGAACACAGTAGAGCACTGGGTCGCATTTCATTAGAAAATTCGATATCGTAAAAAAAAATGTGATTACAATTATTGCTTACAACGTCAATTGTACACGATAGTCTTTTAATTTAACGAATGTATCAATAATAGAGTCCACATCCATACCAACTATGTTTCAAATAAAATACTTGAGTAATCTGCGAGGAATCCATCGCTCATTTTGTTGCACAAATCAGTTTTCACATGTTTCATTGTTGAAAAGGTTCTCTTCGTGGTAGATGTTGAAACGGGCAGTATCAACACTAGACAAATCAATTGTCTAATCTATGTGCACCGTGTATCCATCCCTATATCCATTACGCCCCTCTAGTAAATTTTCAAGGAAACAAACCTCATAGTTCTTTTAGTTTTTTACGCTTTACGCTTTACGCTTTACGCTCTAGACTTTAGAATTTTAGTTTTTATTATTTTTTTAGACAAAAAACCTTTGGGGCTAGAATTTATAGGCTAAATTTAGAGTAGTGGTTTGAAAATATTCGTCTGAATCATTTTTTTTGTTATACACAATCATACTATAAAATAACACTAGGCTGGATGACTAAAATCGACAAATTTATAAGGATGATTCTAACTTCGAATCTAGAGGAGGGCTGGGCCGGGCTCGGGGTGGCCACCCCCTAAATCTGCCATTGAGTGATGTTAATGTTGATCCTAATGATCTTATGTGATTTTTTATTCGTAACTATTAATTAAGTAATTTCTATGAGGTATCAAGTTGCTTATTTGTGTGTTTATATTATGTACAAGAATAAATATATGGATTTAATTGTATTTATTATTTACCCAATAAACTTACTTGGGAAATAAATATGTTTAATGTGGTTGATTGTTATTCAAGATATGCATTTTTTTTACAATATGGTATTTTAAGTGTATATTTTAATATGAACCTTAAAATCTTACGATTTTATGATTTTAATCTACGATTACGATTCTACCTCATTTTTTATTTTATTTAAAATTCCGATTTTGACTGCATTGCACTTAGCTTTTTCATCAAATATATTCTATTTCCCAATGTTGTCAGAACCGAACCGGAGCATGACCCGGTAATGCGAACGGCTCGCACTTCAGTGGTCCAACCGGCATTAGACCGTTTAAAAACCATTAGAGAACCGGTACCTAATAAACGTTATCAGTATAAATAGTGGACATTTCTTAATCAGAGCTCATCTCTTTCTTTCGAAATTGTGAAATGGAAATAAAGATTCAATTTGAGAGCCCGACGTTTTTGGTTTTTTTTTTAATTTTCAATTTTCTATAATTTTTTTAATTAAATTTAGTGGTTGAATGGCAAAAACCGGACGAGCGGCTCGATCGGCTCGAATGGCTAACCTCCTCGGCCGCTCGCTAACCGCTATATAAAACCGGAGCGGCTTTTAGACTGTTCTGAGCCTATTTTGTGACTGGGTGGCAGTTTTACCGGTCGGGCCGAGCGGCTCGGCTCGGCTTTAATAACACTGCTAGTATTTCCTGATAGTTGTGTATCTTTATTTGAGCTGTTTTTGGTAGATTCGGAGCTTGGAAGTTATCAATTACCATAATCTTCTAGGCTTTTATATGGTGATAACCGCTTGTTTTATTAATGTCCGTCATCTCCAATTTTTGTATAGTAATCTTCATTAATTTTTATTGACCTTGCTCACCAACTTATTCATTGTCCTCTCCCCATGTTTAGTTGCGGTCTATATTAACTAACTCTTGCCCCCTTTTTGTTTGGTGATCTACAAAGTGAGAAGTCTGCACCTTTTTTGCAAATCTGGAGCATTTGGACACTCAAGAGTTATTGTGTTGTATCTTAATTGTAGATTGAGTGGTGTTGTGACCAATATGATAATTAGGAAGTTCAAGGCGTGTAAACCCCTGACCCTTTGTGATAATTGCAAACTCCATTAATTCATCTGAACCTACTTCTACTTATTTTTTTTGTACAATTTGATAATTTTGTAGCCTTTAAATGTACATTTATTTTGAATATCCATCCTGGCGCGGAGCGTAGGCAACAAAAACCATTAGTACTAATTTGTCAAAAAAATCTACACAATAAATAAAAGCCAAATGATAAAATTTGAAGTCTCATTTCAAATTTCTGCATTCAGAGTGAAAGTAGGAATGACATTTTGGTCTTCACAATTACTTTTTTATATTCATTAAAAAGACACTTACTAGGATTCGAACCGTGCCCACTTTAAAGAAAAGCAAAGAGCATAACCAATCACACTTAGTACATTTGTTATATCTTTTTAAATTAAAAACATATTATCGTAGAGAGGAAAAAAACCCTTTCCCCATTTCAAATTTCCTGCTCCAAGAGCGTTTGTAGGAAGGGTAGAATAGAGAGTGTCAATTTTTTTTTCTTTTTCCTCTGTGGAATGTGCCAACTTACCGTACGCATGCGGATTTAAACGGGTCCAGGAGTGTCAATTTTTTATTTAAGTCATTTTATTTCTCTGTGGTGGTAAAATATATATGAAAAGGCAAAAACAATACTCCTTTTTATTGCTAAAAAGAAAAAAAATTAACAATAAACTAATGCATGGATTCTAATGGAAAAACCGCTAATAATAAAATAAAAGAGTTGAATGAGTCTGACCTACACGAGATTTGCACATCAAGTAAACAAATGAACATTATGAGTTTGCCATTATAAAACAAGCTATTTTTTCTTGCATAATCATAAACTAATGCATGGATTCTAATGGGCTAACCGCTAATCATAAAATAAAAGAGTTGAATGGGTCTGACCTGCATGGGATTTGCCCATCAAGTAAAAACAAATGAACATCATGGGTTTGCCATTCTAAAACAAACTATTTTCTCTATAATAATATATATTGTGCTATTATTTTATATCTTAGTGGATAAAATATAATGTATTTTAAAGTTATTCAATGGTTCAACCTCGACCAACCCAATTAGTCCAATTTTTATCATTTCAAGTATATATTATGTAATTATTTGATATCAGAATGATTAAATTATAATGTATATTATAGGGAATCGTTTGGTATTTGTTAGTAAAAAACTACACAGAAAGATCTATCTGGTTATTTTTAACATTAAAACGATCCTAAACATTTTCAGTTTCCTTTCGAAATTTTATAGTTTTATTCCCGTATCAGTGATGTGCAAATGGCGAATTGCAGTCATCTCTTTTCTTTCATTATTTTTTATTTTCAAATAGAAAGGGCTAAATTACACGTTTGGTCACTCAAATTATAAAAATCTTTCACCTTTACCACCCGAATTAATTTTCTTTCTTATTCGCCACTAACTTTACGAATCGTTTCACCGTTAGTCACCCGCCGTTACACTCCGTTAACTTTGTCCTACATGGCAGTCAACTGTAAAGTTTGACCGTTAATTAGATGACGTGGAAATTTGAAAAAATTAAAAAAATAATTAATTTTTCCACATCAACATTTCAAATTTATCATATTAATTATTTAATAAAAATTAATAAATGACAAAAAAATAATATGATAAATAATTAATAAATGACCCTCACCACCACCATCACACTCCCGCTACTCCTCTCCCCCGCCGCCGACCACAACGGCAACTCCATCATATGCTCCTAAGCTTTCTCCATGTCGTGCTTACGGACTGGGGTTGTGCAAAGGGTCTTCAACTTCCTCAAACTAACCCTTGTTGACCAAGGAACTCTGCCTCCCCTGCTTGCTTGCTTCGGCAACGGAGATATCAAAACACTAGTGGGCAGTTGATGGCTTCTAAACGATCTCACGGTGGCTTGATTCATCTCTATCTAAATAGAGAGATGAAAGAATCCTACCAGCGGAGTTGTTCTCGGATTAATCCCAACCATGGCAGGCTGAATCATTAGGTATGTAAGCTTCTACCTGTTAGAGCAATAACAATCAATTCTAATGCTATAAAACCCCATAAACCCAACAGTTGGGGATGCAATTTCTGATCAATAAAATAGAAGTAACCTCCATAATATGAAGAATGGCGTCATCTCTGTGCAGGAGCTTGCCCAGCAAGCGAGGGGCCAGGTCGAGGGTGTCAATTTGGAAGAACTCCCGAGGCAAGATGGGGACTACGCGGGAGGCGAGAATGAAGACGAGACAACCGGCGATTGTAGGGGTAAGTGGCGTCCGCGGTCCGTCGACGGAGAGAATCTCCAATGGGTAAAGCGCCTTGAGATTGTGAGGGATCGGGACATTGGAGATTGATGAAGTTGTTTAGAATTTTCAATTGTTGAAATTGGACAGGGAACGAAAACAGCGGATAAAGACTAACCAAAAACTCCTAATAATTCATAAAACAGAGAAGGGAGCAGTTAAGGAAGGAAGGTTGCATACGTAGAAAACGCAGATATTATTTTTTGTCATTTATTAATTTTTATTAAATAATTAATATGATAAATAAGAAATGATGACGTGGAAAAATAAATTTAATTTTTTTTCAAATTTCCACGTCATCTAGTTAACGGTCAAACTGTATAGTTGACTCCCATGTAGTACAAAGTTAACGGAGTGTAACGGCGGGTGACTAACGGTGAAACGATTCGTAAAGTTAGTGGCGAATAAGAAAGAAAAGTAATTCGGGTGGCAAAGGTGAAAGATTTGTATAATTTGAGTGACAAAATGTGTAATTTAGCCAAATAGAAAGTTTAAAAGTAAAGAATAATTAGAGTTTGGCATGGGTCGGTCAAACAGGCTGAATTTCAAGTTTTGGCCCGTTTTGATCAAGTCTAATTTATAATCACATGGTTCCCTGGTACCCGATAAAAATCTCAATCCAAACCAGTTTGACAGGTGAGTTTGTGATTACCACCATTTTCTAGTGATACAGGAACGGTGGTTCCTATCCCAAATCGGGTTGTTCATTCTTGATTTCTTTAGATTTTATCATGGTTTGGCAAAAAACTAGAAAGCACAATGATGACATGATGAAAGTTTTATAAAGCAAATTAATCGGCCAACGTGCCGAATAAAAGCTAACAACGATTGTGAGATGCTCATTTCCAGAAAACCGGCGGGATAGGCGATTTTTTATTCGATTTTCTGGAATTTGGTTTCTATAAAACTTACTCCACCCCATCATATTACCAGAAACAATATTGTTTCACAAGGTAACAAGTACTTGATTTTGGTTCATAAAGTTGAATTTTGATTCGTTACATCATTCGTGTCTCTTTTATACTAAAATTTGCTATTTTTATCACACGTTTCCCAAAAAAACTATACAACAATAAGCTATACACCCCATTACATTATCAAATTTCGAAAAATAAAAATAAAAATAGTCTTTCGTCGTCGAAGCAGCAAGTCCAGACAACTCTGAAGAGAAGCCCGCCCCTACAGCAACGCCGCTTGCTTACAGTAGCGTCCACCCGATCACGGAAATGCCACTCATCCAATTGCGCAGTCGGCTCCACATTCAAAACCCACCTCATTTCTAGTCTTCCCTTCACTCCCTCAGTCTTTCTCTCAACAGATATGGTTACCTAACTATCCGCTTTGAACGGTTGTTTTTCCTTTACACCATTTCTGCCCCAGCCGGATTTCCCCGTCATTTGGGGGGTGAGTTTCTACATGGGTTCATTTCCCCCCCTAAATCTCATGCATGATTTTAGGCTGTTTAGTGTTTCTATTTTTTACCTTATGGCAGATTCCTTAATAAAACCCCATATAATCATTTTTCATTGTCTTTTTCCGCTGGTTTTGTTGTGCAGAAATGGATTCTGCTTGTGCTTCGTTGAATGCCACTGTTGCTAATGCATCAGGTAATGGAATCAGCAGAGGGAGATCGTTGTTCTGGGGAGAGAGTCTAAAGGGTATCCAGAAGTGTAGAGATTTGAGAGCCCAACCACGGAAGAACGCTGGGGTTAACAGTAGGAGCTGTAAATCGACAAGGCCTGGAGTTATCAACTCTGTTCTTACACCCGATCTTGATCAAGAAACTATGGTAAGCAAATGTGATGACAATTATGATATCGTGATCTTGCTTCTTAACTTACATCATTGCCGATCAAAAAAGCTGTGTGCTTTAGTTTAGAACTGTACGCTGTCTTATTCGAGTGGTCATGTTATGGATTTTAGGCATTTGATATGCGGATGTTTGAATCGAAGAAAGCCGACCCGAAGAATGTTGCTTCGATCATATTGGGTGGGGGAGCTGGTACACGCTTGTTTCCTCTGACTAGCAGAAGAGCGAAGCCTGCGGTGAGAAATGGGCTCCAAGAATTCTGTTTTTGCAGAAAGATGGGAATTTTTTGAGTTGTAAGCGAGATTTTATCTGTCACCCTCTTGCAGGTACCAATTGGGGGGTGTTATAGGCTTATTGATGTTCCGATGAGCAACTGCATCAACAGCGGTATAAAGAAGATATTCGTGTTAACGCAGTTCAATTCCTTCTCGCTTAATCGCCACTTAGCCCGTGCATATAACCTTGGCAATGGTGTTAACTTTGGAGATGGATTTGTGGAGGTAATATTGTTCATAGCATATTCTGTTAATAGAATTGAGTAAACATTATGATGATTGATGTGATGTGTATGATTCCGAGATGGCTATAGGTTCTTGCTGCTACTCAAACAAATGGAGAAACAGGAAAGAGGTGGTTCCAAGGAACTGCTGATGCTGTGAGGCAGTTCATCTGGGTCTTTGAGGTGGTGATCAATTGTCAATTCTTATATCTAAAGTTTGGAGATTCAATGTGTCTTAATGGTAATTCTTTATCCTTCCATGCTGTCCATTCAGGATGCGAAGAACAAAAATGTGGAACACGTTATAATCTTGTCTGGTGATCATCTCTACCGCATGGACTATATGGATTTTGTGCAGGTAATTTCAATCTAAAGTTTCATCTGGTCAAATCTGCAAAAAAGTTGATCCCTGATGTCTGGAGAGTTTTTTAATCCGTCGTGTTCTTGCAGAAGCATGTCGATACCAATGCTGATATCACAGTTTCTTGTGTGCCCATGGATGACAGGTCTTTGCCCTTCATCCTTTCTCCTTTCATGTCATTGCTTAGAACCCTTATTGAGTTGAGATGGTTATTTACTGCCATGCATTTGATGAAATGAATCGCCTTGTGGTTTACAGCCGAGCATCAGATTATGGACTGACGAAGATCGACAACATAGGGAGAATTGTCCAATTCTCTGAGAAACCTAAAGGCCGTGAACTGAAAGCAATGGTAGAGTAGTACAGCATATCTCATATCTTCTCCTCTTAGCTTTTGTAATTAGCTTCTCGCATAATTAGCTATTTCACTCTATGGTGCAGCAAGTTGATACAACCATTCTCGGCCTACCAAAAGATGAAGCTAAGAGATACCCTTACATTGCATCAATGGGTGTTTATGTGTTCAGAACTGATGTCTTGCTGGAGCTTCTGAACACAACCTATGCCTCGTGCAATGATTTTGGCTCTGAAATTATCCCATCTGCTGTCAAGGATCATAATGTTCAGGTGAAACTCGGTTGTCTTCAATTTTCTGAAATTTTCTCATGTCATAAGATTTTTTAGCTGATTTTGTTTAACCTTGTTGAAGGCTTATTTGTTCAACGACTACTGGGAAGACATTGGAACAATCAAATCCTTCTTTGATGCCAATCTTGCCCTCACAGAACAGGTTGGTATCCTTTTTCTTTATGTTTTTCCTCTATTTACTACTGATTCTGCAAACTGACAAGTATATATCATCTCATGCAGCCTCCGAAGTTTGGGTTTTTCGATCCAAAGACACCATTCTACACATCACCAAGATTCTTACCGCCTACTAAAGTTGATGAATGCAAGGTATGAAGTATAATGAACTTTTAAACCTCTTCTCTATTTCTAAGGTAGATTTCTTAGGCATATTTGTTTCCCTTGATGTAGATCGTCAATGCCATAATCTCACATGGCTGCTTCTTAAGAGACTGTAGCGTGGAACACTCAATAGTTGGTATTCGTTCTCGTCTAGAAAGTGGTGTCGAGCTCGTGGTAGGCGCTACACACTGTATTTCTTGCGTTACTTCTAAGTTGTCGAAGAAACATTTCATCTCAGTATCTGCAAGTCTTGCAGGATACTATGATGATGGGTGCTGATTACTACCAAACCGAAGCTGAAATCGCCTCTGCACTAGCAAGTGGAAACGTCCCTGTCGGAGTTGGTCCAAACACCAAAATCAAGTAATGTTTCCAAACTCCATTTCCCCTATTCTACAGCTAGAATGATTGCTCAACCAGCTTAACATTTTTGTTATTCGTCGCTTCCAGAAACTGCATAATTGACAAGAATGCTAGAATTGGAAGAGATGTAGTCATTGCAAACACCGACGTAAGATTGTTCCTTCACTCATCAAGGATTTTTTCGTTCCTTTTAGAGTTGTATCTGAAATGGTACTTCCATTGTGCAACCTTCCACAGGGTGTTGAAGAAGCAGAAAGACCAGATGAAGGGTTCTATATCCGGTCAGGGATCACAGTCATTCTGAAGAATGCAACGATTAGAGACGAAACCATCATTTAGGTTCAAAGGCTTCCCTATTCCTAGCTGCAGCAGCATTAGAATAATAATACGCAACTGGTGCGGTTTAACTGCATTGAACCACAAGATACAGTCCGGCTCTGGTGGTGTTCCTATTCACAGACCACGAGGGTACCTGATTGCAGAAAACACCGGTCGCGATGTCAACATACTGCCGAAGGTTGCTAACCTTCGGAAAGCGAAATTGACCACCCGTAGGCCTTCTACCTCGCCTCGACCCGGCATTGCTTCGTCAGGCTTTAGTCCCATTGCCGAAATGTTTCTTCCCAGTGTGACTGATCATCCTTTAGGACTAGCTATTCAACCGAGATGAACTCAGTTCCATTCTGTTTGTTAAATAATCTAGTCTTCAAATTACAAGTCCCGCAATTTCATTTTATTAAGCAAAATTAATCCAAACGATACATTCTCAAGATTCTCAGTGGACGAATAATCTGTTTCAAAACCTATCAATTATAGACAACCCACCAGCGAAATGAGCACTACGCCTTCTTCCCTCAATTTCCGATTCCATTGTGTCTAATGACATTGCCGCCGGCCCACCTTGCTCTGTTCCTCAGCTCGACATAAAGCCTCCGAATTCGGTTGAGCTTCTTCGATTGATCAGCGATGATCCCAGCAGTAGACCCGTTCTCGCTCAAAACCACCTCGTACCCATCTCCGAAATTGTGCATTCCTTCGGTGAACAGCTGCCAGAACATCCCGCCGGCGGCGGCGCCGCCAGCTCTGGCCGACGAGTAAATCGCGGTGTAGACGGTGTCGAACAGCCGATCCCTCTGTTCTACAGGCGCAGTTCTCAGAGATTTTCCGAACTCGGCGAAGAGAACGGGTTTCCGGAGAACGTTCTGTGAATCCTGGATGTGAACTTGCAGCCAGCGGTTTAAGAAATCCTGCTGGCTCCGGTCGTCGGAGCTTGGCAGCCATTGGTCCGGGTAAGAGTGGACCGTGGCGAAATCGATTTCCGGGATCTGATTGTTGGCGATGAAATCGGTTCCCACTTGGAAGTTTGGGTTGTCCTGCTGCTTCTGAGATTCCGATTGCCCGTAAAACCCTTCTAGACCGACTTCCAACAGGTGGTTCCCGTCGATTGATTTTAGGTAAGCAGCCATCTCCGTTATCCATTCCTGTAAAAAAAAGGTTAAAGTATTTGAACCCAAAAAATGCCCACCAGGTGTTTGAGAAAAGGGGAAAAACCTGAATGGCTCTGCCGGAGGGATCCGAGGTGCATCTGGGTTCGTTCATGAGCTCCCAAGCCATGATCGCCGGCTCGTCCTTGTAATCAACGCCGGTGATGGTGTTCCGGCGGGTGAGAACCGTCTTGATGTGATTCTTGTAGAACCCTTTGATCACCGCGTTGGTGAAGAAATCGTCGTCCGACGAAATCGACTGGCCCTGACTTCTCCCCCAATTGGCGTACTGCTTCTTCCCTCCGTAATGCTCGTAGTTGTTCACCAAGCTCAGAATCAACTTGATCCCGTTCTTCTTCGCTTCAGACACCACCAAATCCAACGCCTTTCGAAAACAGAGCACGCCATTGTTTCATCAGAAAAAAAGAATTGATAAGAAATTTCACAATGGGAGAGAGATCGAATTGGGAGTCCAAGAAAAAAAAAAAACCTGAAAAGTTTGCTCGCTGTAGAGGCCAGGGGAGATCTGAAGAGCTCTATCTTGAGTACCATCGTTGAACGCCCAAGTTCTGGCGATGGCGAGGCCGTGCCCTCTGGCTTCCTGAAACAAGGTGGAGACTTTCTGCCTCTCGGATGGAGAAGGGTCGGCTGCTACGTACATGAGCCAATAGGCGTTGAAGCCATTGGCGTAAAATGGGGCGCCGCCGAGCGTGAACTGGGCTCCATTGGTCTTCACGAACCCATCTTCACCGGCAGAAATCCCCTTCTTCCCCTGAAGAACAAGAAGAAGAGTCTCGAGCAAAACCAGAGCTCCCAATCGCTTCATTTTCCTTTCTTGCTTTGTGGGTGTTGTTCGATTCTCGTGATCGCAGGCAGGGGCGTAAAAGAAGGATGCGAAGGCGATGGTGGGTGGATTGTTCGTGGGTTTAGAAATGGCGAGGTGCCGTTTGCAGGGTGGGTTTGTATAGAAGAAAAGCTGGTTAGTGTACTTTAGTTTGGAGTGGGAGGGAAGGAAAGAACCTTACTGTTGACGTATATTCAATGAGCTTTGTATTAACTTCTTTCGCCGTTTTTCATTTACTGCAGATTGATACTCTGTATTAAGTTTCTAATTAATCTTCCTTAATACAGTTCTTGTACCTTTTTTTGGGTAGGAGAAATACTGTTCTTTGTACTGACATGGCTCAACCTAACACAAAGTACACACCAACAACATTTCGCCCAAAGCCCTAATACCTTGGCTATGACGACATAATGGTATGAATTTGTAAATTACATTTATTCGCGCTGTAAGATTTCCCTTACCAAAGTTGGAATTAAAAAATTCCTATTTTTTAGATTGTCACCATGAAATTCAATAACGGAACTTTGTGATTGACGTTTATAACTCGCGAATGTAAGTTGACCGGGCAGCTATGTGTTTTAGTGAGATTAAGCCATTTAACTTGTGTGGATTACTAGACCTTCCTTGTGCACCACTGTTAAGAAGAAAGTTTCTTGATCCATTAGCTAGTTTATAGGGGTGGAGAGATGATTAGCATTAAGTTTGGGGAGAAGACAAGCTGCTGCAACGACGACAGACACGTGAAGAAGAAGAGAAAGGCTGCAGGCAGGGGAAAGGGATGCACCTCCGCCACAAAAGTTGGCCCTGGAAAACAGTAGACCGCCATGTGAACAGTTTCATCTCAATTTTTAAAAAGCAACTGCATGCAGTTCAGATCCAGAGGATGGTGTTCTTCTTCTTCTTCCCCCACGTCCATGTCCACGTACGTTGTCCTCTGTTTCTCCCTCTGACTTCGCTCTCTCTCTCTCTCTCTCTCTCTCTCTCTCTCTCTCTCTCTCTCTCTGCTGCTATCAAATATCAATGGATTTATTATTTTTCCTTCCTTATTTTCAGGTATTAAAGTCGACGTTGGGGAATGAAAAGAAGCCTCAAAATTAAGTGGCCGAGGCCGACCCAACTCTTTTTCTCACCGAGGGCGGTGGAGGGGACGGTCGGTTTGCCGGCGGGAAATGCGCCACCTTCCCTTCTGACATCCCAGTCCCACTCACGCTCATGGACTATCGGCCCAACTACATCATTTACAAATTTGGTTAGCTTATTGGGCCCTGGTAGCGGTCTACACTCTGCACTTCTTGTGTGGTCCATTTGACCCACGGAGCAGAATTCACAAGGCCCAACCGGAGAGGAACCCCGTAAATAGGTGAAGGTGATGAGTCAATTGACGAATTAGTAAATACTAAAATAGTAATGGTAACTAGGGGTGGGCGTTCGGTTCAAACCGAACCGAATAAGGTTATCCCGAATTTCCGAACTTTCCATAGCCCCGACCGAATTCGAACCAAGCTGTAATTCGGTTCGGTTCGACCGAATCGAATCACAACTCGGTTCGGTTCGGTTCGGTTCGGATGCTCAAACCGAAATACCTCTGCTGCCCCCTTTTTGCCTGCTTTTTTTTTTTTTTGTGAAAATTTGACATGACCTCGGCAGCCGGTGGATTGCGAGAGGGGGGCGAGCAGAATCGAGCGACGAGCAGTGAGGTTGAGGAAGGTCGAGCGCCGAGCCGTGCCTATTGAGTGTTGACGTCGCCGTGCTCGGGGCTCGGGCAGTAGAGACTCGGCAGCCGGTGGATTGCGAGAGGGGGGCGAGCAGGATCGAGCACGAGCAGTGAGATTGAGGGGTGTTGACGTCGCCGTGCTCGGGGCTCGGGCAGTGGAGCTGTGGAGGAGGCGTCGGAACTCGGAGGCCGGAATCGAACGTTCCCTCTGCCGGCGCTGCCTTCTCGCGATTTCGTCAGTCAGTGCTGCGCTGCCTTCTCTCGCGATTTCGTCAGCAGCCTCGCACCTCGCAGCGAAGACGACTCACGAACACGACGGTGGCTGGGCTAGGGCTGGGGTCGGGACTAGGGTACTGCGCAGTGGGCTGGGCCTGACGGAGCAGGCCTTCAGTATCGGGCTGGGCCTGGCGGAGCAGGCCTTCAGTATTGGAGCAGGCAGCCCAATCCTGCCTTCTCGCGATTTCGTCAGTCAGTGCTGCGCTGCCTTCTCTCGCGATTTCGTCAGCAGCCTCGCACCTCGCAGCGAAGATGACTCACGAACACGACGGTGGCTGGGCTAGGGCTGGGGTCGGGACTAGGGTACTGCGCAGTGGGCTGGGCCTGGCGGAGCAGGCCTTCAGTATCGGGCTGGGCCTGGCGGAGCAGGCCTTCAGTATTGGAGCAGGCAGCCCAATCCAACGGCTGGGGCTTGGGTTCAACTATTCGGAATTTCGGTCGGTTTTTCGGAATTTCGGTTCGGTTCAAACGAACCTGATTTCCGAAATGTCTCCTATTTGCAGCAGAATTTCGAACCTAACAACAAATATTTCGGATTCGGTCGGTTTTTATTCGGTTCGGTAAAACCGAACCTAATGCCCACCCCTAATGGTAACCTCCATTCCATATTGATCTCCTTATATACAAAAGTAACATTCTGCTTGGTCCCGTCCGGTTTTTTTTTAAAATATAAGGATCAAAGATTGGATTGGATACAGTCCAGTCTTGATCCAGTTCGATCTTGACTCTGTTCGGTCCCAATTCGATCTTGATTTTATATCGATCTTGTGGGGATTTGAGTGGCCTAAGGCCTGAAAGGGTGAGGAATTGGTTAAGTTTTGTACTAAGTGCAAAGATTTGTGACCGTTTATGCAAATTACCTTTAAGTTTTGGGTGTTGAGCTCTCTTATCCGGTCTTTATCCAGTTTTCGATCCGGTCCCGAATGGTTTTTTTTACGTCAAATCTAAGCCCAAAGATTGGATTTGATTGTTTACTATCCGGTCCCGGTACGGTCTAGATCCGGGTTATACGGTTTGGTTTTGGATAAAACCAAAAAAACCCGGACCAAATAGCCAGCCCTAATTCAAAACCCTATGAAATGCAAAGAAAATCATGTGAAACCGAATCCATGCAAAACGCATGTATTTATTTCATTTTAAATTTGTTTCACTTTCTCATTGAATTTTTGAACGGATGGAAGAACAATGGTCGGTAAAACAACTAGGAAAGAAATATGTATAAGGAAATCAAGTATGGCGAAATGGAAGGAACAGGAGAATTGCTCAAAAATGGCCATCAATACTTACTTAGGAGATTACACATGACTCATCAACATGAGGAGAGGCAAAAAAAAAAAATGTCTCTCCCAATCTTATTTTACGTTCAAGGGTAGCTAAGTTTTGCATTTCTGCAGCCACCACGTCACGTTGCAATGACTGTCGGTTGGTGACATGGCTTAGCTGTTCTTCTCAAGTGTTTGGTAGATAGAATATTTGGCCAAAAGAAATCACGACCCATTTTCCCTCCTTTGTATAAAACGGGGCTCCAACTCAACAAAAGAAGAATCCAACAACAAATTCAGGAGTGGTAAAAAAATAAACCCAGCAATATTTATCTGACAAGTAAGTAAATTGTCCCCCGTTGTTATGGGTGCTGAAGGGGAAGTGAAGACGGTTTGTGTAACCGGTGCATCTGGGTTCATCGGGTCATGGCTCACCATGAGGTTGCTCGAGCAAGGCTATACGGTTCGAGCCACCGTTCGCGATCCCAGTAAGTAATTAACCTACATTCCTTCTCCATGGTTACTAATTGACTCATATCATACCAGTGCTAATGAACCGGATCATCCGACTATACTGAGTTTTCTTTTAACTTTTTTTTTTGTGTATCGTATATTATTATTAGGCGATGAGAGGAAAGTGAAGCATCTGGTGGAGCTGCCAAACGCAAACACCCACTTGACGTTATGGAAATCCGACCTTTCCATCCCCGGCAGCTTCGACGACGCCGTCCACGGCTGCTCCGGCGTCTTCCACGTCGCCACTCCCATGGATTTCGATTCCCCCGACCCCGAAGTAATGCAACAATACATATGCATAAATTATTGAGTTCTATAAGCTCATACTGATCAAGGTGTTTATTTTTGTTGTTGTTGTTGTTGTTGTTGTTGTTGTTGTTGGGCCAGAATGAGGTGATAAAGCCCACGGTGGACGGCGTACTGGACATCATGAAGGCCTGCGCCAAGGCCCGGACCGTGAGGAGAATAGTGTTCACTTCATCCGCCGGCACCGTGGACGCGGAAGAGCACCCGAAGCTCATCTACGACGAGAACAATTGGAGCGATTTGGAGTTCATCCAGCGCGTCAAAATGACCGGATGGGTATTTGATTTCCCTCAAGTTTATCTTTTATCCGTTTTAATTGTTGTGGATTGATTTGATTGATAACCTAGCTAATCTGGTTTGTTGGTGCAAACCCACAGATGTATTTCGTGTCCAAGATCTTGGCAGAGAAAGAGGCGTGGAAATTTGCTAAGGAGAACGACTTGGATTTCATTAGCATCATACCAACTTTGGTGGTTGGTCCATTCATTATGCAGTCCATGCCTCCCAGCCTTATCACTGCACTCTCCCTAATTACAGGTAGGTAGGTAGATAGTAGAGATAAATTACCTGTTTTGATCCTTAATCACCTTTTTATTTCTTAATAAGAAGATTTCTCCAAGTGGAAACAAATCCTTAGCAATTGTTTTTGGGCCTCCAAACCAACAGGATACAAACCACATTATTCGATAATAGAGCAAGGTCACTTCGTGCACCTGGACGACCTCTGCATGTCTCATATCTTTCTGTTCGAGCATCCGAACGCTGAGGGGCGTTACATCTGCAACAGCGACGACATCAACATTTACGAGCTTGCCGAGTTACTCGAAGAAAAATATCCGGAGTATGAAATCCCGTCGAGGTAATTAATAGTACTACCTAGCTACTTGATTTCCAACATTTAGCTCGTTGTGTTGTGAAACGACGGCGTGGTGTCGTAGGTTTGAGGGCATCGATCGAGGCGAATTGAAGAAAGTGAAGTTCTCATCGGAGAAGCTGAAGAAGTTGGGGTTCGAGTTCAAGTATGGATTAGAGGAAATGTTTCGAGGAGCTGTGGATACTTGCAGAGAAAAGGGTTTGATTCCATTGAGTTCCAAGAAAGGAAAAGACGAAGGGGAGGAGAAGCTTTTGTAGTTGGAAAGATTTGGTGTTGAGAACGAAGTTGTAATTGAAAGTGGAATGCAAAAGGATTTGTTTTCTTGTCTTTTAATTTTAGTGGATATCGGAAAAATCGTATAGGATTATAACAAATTCTATTGGTATGGTACAATAAAGAATAAAGTGAGAGAAACGATCAATTATTTTGTTTAGATTTCTGTTGATTCAAAGTTCGAACTCAGAGTTCTGATTAATGTTCTTGTCTCCATTGTTAAACTAGACCACCCATTAATGTTTACTTTTGCTATTTCATCTTTTACTATTGATCATGAACTATGAAGTATTGGATATTTGATAACAAAGAGGAGGATACCCCAATACATATACGCTTGACCATATATTTGTTACAAGTTTATGTACTAAGATGTAATTAGTCGTTTGTCATTATTATGGTTATGTTGCCAAATGTAGCATTTTTTATGTAGCATTCTTAAATCTACAGATTGTCAACAATCTAAAGATTCTAACTCTCTAGATTGTTGAAAACAGATTTTAAAATGTTTATTGTTTGGTAACTGTGATTCTTAGCATTCAATTAAAATAAAAAATTTAATTTTATATCAAATAAATTTGTATCCTTAATAAAAAATTAGAGTGGTTCAATAAATATTAAAAACTTTGTTGATAAATATATTTCATGTGATAAATAAATAAAAGTAGAGAAAAATTAGGAGAAAAAAAATCTCATGAATCAAAATATAGAATCTCTCTGATTATGAGATATTTGATATCCGCAGATTTTAGAGATTTGAAATCTCTAAAACTAGAATATACCATACAGAAAGCAACAAAAAAACATAACTTTCTATAAAAATCTACGGATTCAATGAATCCATATCCTGAATCCTGTTCTCCAAACGACCACCAAAATCTTGTCTAAAAGAATTATACGGAGTGGCAGGGATTTTGTTTGAAGGGTTAAATCTGAAATGGGTGAAACTTGGGTCGGGCTGGCCTTCACACAATGGGCCAGATTTCTCCACGTTTACATGCTTCTTTCTCATCGAGACCGTGCTGGAATGTATCGATGTCACACGGGAACAAATGGAGTCGAGGAAAACCCCACAAATGCTCTCCGATCTGAGCTGGAGTTCTTCACTCGACCACCACCAAATAATGTCCACACAAGTCAAATTCTTGATTCCGAATTCAGCAAGGCTATCAAGCTGTTATAGTATACTAGAATCAATACCCGTGGTTACGTCACAGGACGTGTTTAGAGTTGTGTAGTATTTTTAGAAAACACAATAATTGGAATAGAAAATAGTTATAAATTACTAGATTTGGGCCCGCCCGTTGGCCGGTTGCATTTTGTAAATAAAATAAATGACAATAATTATTATGTAAAAACTATTTGACAATAAAAAATAGACCAAATTATTCAATTGTTGAAAAAATCAAAACGCTTAATTAAAAGTAAAATCAAACCCATTCAAGAGAACCAACACTTAATAAACATAATCAAATCACAGTTCAATTTACTTCTCACTCTCAGAAATTTACATGCTTATATAGAGGACTACTTAATATGTGATGAAGTTAAAATCACATGTTTCCCCCTCATATTGGTATACGAATTACCTCTTAAGTAAAAATAAATTTTCCTTGTCTATATATTCAAAAATTCTAGAGGTTGCCTTCGATGAGGGAGGTTCACTTCCTTGTCTGTAAAACAATGAAACTTTGATTAATTGAAATTCCTCATTTCAATACTTTCAATTTTCCATATCATCACTCTACAATATCCACAATATTTATACAATGGGTTTCAATTATCAAACATTCAATAAAATAAAATTTTCAAGTTAAGAAATACATTTGATAAAAATTCTAACATGAAAATAAATGAAGAAAACTCACATATTGTTAATATCAATAAACATGGAAAATATTTAGAATGCATCACTCGAAGAAGCTTGTAATGATTTTTCATCAAGTTTGATGGATCTCAACAATCAATTTCTCTTGGTTTGTAAGTAGTTATCTCATTTTGAAATCTTGTATATGAATTAGTAAGTGAGCAATCTTAGTGCCAACACATAATTTGCAAAATATATAAATCAGAATTTTTTTTGAAATAATGGGATACCAGTAGGAATGTTGACAATTTTTCATATATAAACTTTTGTATTATATAAAGAGCACGTTCTCTTTGCTAAGTTCATAAATGTAAAATGTGGACTAATAGTTTTATAAAATCAAATACCCTAATCTCTAATGGATAAAGTTTAGGTCCCTGATTATCAAAACCCAAATCTAAAGTTCAATTTAATAGAAAATATTATTGACCGTTGAAATTGGTCGAAACTAATCGAAGTATATCTAACGGATAGATCACTTGAAGTATACTATACTTCTAAAAGTGTACCCGTCTTTACCTAAAAATAATATGAACAAAGTTTGATTAACCAACCATGCATAACCATGTTTTGTCTTAATTCGATTTCATAGTCCACTATTGTAAAACTGATGGCTAAAAGCCATATATCAACATTCCCATAATTCAATTCTCTCAAATCTCAATACACAACAATTATTATATATTTCCTACTGAGATAACATATTACAAACACATGGTGTGAAGACATACAGTCCGTCCCTCAAAGCAATGTACACATAAAACTAATCGCAAGACACCGACTTGGATTAAAAGTAAAAAGACCATAAAGGCCTTCCGTAGTGTGCGCAGGAATCAGGAAAAAGGGATTGAGGTGGGTCTCGGAGGAGAACGTATATATAATAGTTGTTTAGATTAGATTAGATTAGATTTAGATATACACCAAGTACATATCATAAAAATTGTTTACAAAACCTAAGTCATGACATATTAATTTCCGTTACAAGAGTTATGTTTAAACTTAGCTAAATCTAATTCTTTTGATCTACTCAGCATTAGATTGTGACCACTAAGAGAATATATTTCTACAAATTACATTCATTAATATCACATGTTCAATCAATCCATACCCATCTTACTTAAGTTAGTAAATAGTTCATTAAAAACGAAACAAAAATATTGGCTCAAAATCTCAACCCCCAGATCACTAAGTTGTCCATGATTCAGGACAACAGTTGAAAAGAAGGATGTTGAAGCATCTCTTCTCCTTGTTCCTCTTACTCCAACTATCTTTTTTAGATTTGTCAACAAAGTTGTCTTTAAACACTCTAAGCATCTCTCCTGCGAAGAAAGAGCAACATCAAAAGACAACTAAAACTAAAGCTACAACTTCCAACTATCAAACCAAGAGATCACATGGTAGTTAAGAATGAGTAGCAGAGGTTGGAAATCAAGACATATCATCAGATTGTGCTTAAAAGTTTGAAACCAATTCATCACTGCCACAACATCCAACAATTAGTGAAAGTCAAGGTATGGATGAGAAATGGAAATTGGCTTATCAAAAAGAAAAGTAAAGAAAAGGATGATCTCACCTTGTTTTTCCTCTTGAACTCCTAAACGAAGAGGTCCACCAATCTGTTGTGAAAATTCTCACCACCAAGGTGAGTGTCTTCAGCAGCTGGCTTCACTTTAAAGATACCCTCTTCAATAGGTTATCAGGGAAACATCAAAAGTGCCAAGTCAAAGATCAACATGTTCTTCAACACTTGTGGCCTCCTTGTCAAGACCATAATAGAGATCTCATCCCCAGTCTGAACCAGCATGCCAGCAACCAGTCTAAACTATCTCCCCTCTGCAAAAACGAAGCCTGGTTCAGAAAAGTTTCCTTAGGAGTCGTCCAAGAATCAACAACGAAAAGAAACTGACATTGAGAGAGAAGGAGCATGAAAATCTGATAATGTAGAGATGATTAATCATAGCCTCAGAACATTGAGAGCCTTTGGTTAGTGAGCTGTCGAGATACCACTCCCTGTACCATCACACTCTAGGATAAACATACTGTAGAAATCATTAAGAAAAAGCATCAATGAAAAAAAACCCATTTATGAAACCCATGAAAATCGTCAGTTAAAGTGATATACACGATCTTAGAGCTCTTCATCTGATGACTATATACCACCATGACCATTATTTCCCCAATGCCTGCTGCAGAGGCTGCATTTCATTTTTCTTCTCATTCATGATTTTCTGTAATTCAGAGAACCAAGTTCTTAATGCCTTCTGCTCAGGAATTAACTCTAATGATCAAATGTTAAGTTATGGACAACGATTACTCATAAAAACCATCTTACCTCACATTACAATGTGGTCATTCAAAGGCTGATAAAAGGACCTGCAGCAAGAACACATCTCAGTGTACTGCTTCCTTTTGCATAAGGCTGAGTAACAGGTGACTAAGTTAGGCTTACATATCTTTGTGAGTGAAAGGAACCTACCTGAACTTTGGCTTGAGTTTGCTGTGTTGAATGAGGAGTGGCTCTACCCACTTAGATGGTGATTTTGTTTAACCAAAACAAACAATAGAGTAAGCCAAGTACACCGAGTCTCATAGAATGCAGATGGTAAATGAATCACTGAGCAGATCGAGAAAATCAATAGAGAATATATCACCTTTCAACCCATCTGTGAAGAGCTAGACCGAGAATGAAAGCAGAAGAGCGAAGGTTGGAAAGAGACGGGGGTGGAGAACTGGACTGAGAATGGAGTGGAGAGGAAATCGAAAATGGAATAGAGAGCAGAATTGAGCTGGGAAACGACAACCAACCAAAGCAATCAACCCTAAGGGTTGCCAGGATCCGTGCTAAATAGGCCAAGTACAATACAAATCATGGCCAGTGGCGTGTTTGGGAAAGGGTTCGGTGGCGGTGCCGTGTAGCAGCAACAACCACGACCCGAAAATCCGAAAAAGGTGAGGGAACTGATGAAAGGATGGAAGGCGAGGAAGATGGGGGCAGCTGCAAATTTTCGTGTACGGGCGGTAAGGGGAGGCATGGCCGCTCAATGAAATTAGGGAAGACAGAGTTCCACAGGCCATTGTCGATATCTTGGAGAACCCACCGGAGCGCCTAGGGTCTCCAACCGTCCATGCTAGCTTTGAAAGGAAGATGTAGTTCATGGTGGTGAGGTGGGCAGAAGAGTTGCATGCAAGAAGAGGAGGGGCCGCTGAAATTGAATAGGAAAGAACCAGAGAAGAGAGGTCTTCTCTAATCCAAAGGAGTAAGGTGAGGATATAGGTGGTAGCGTGTAAGGAAAAGACTACAACTTGGAATGGTGAGAGGATGGGAGATTATTGAAGGGTTGGTTGTGATTGCGGTGAAGAGATGGGGAGATTTTCTAGTCATCCCTCGCTCGATGACAAAAAATGAAACAGTAGTTGCAAGTTAGGGGCAATAAAGTGTAGTCTGCTATTATATATAAGACTAAAATGGGGCCCGGCCGGTTGGCCGGGTGATTTTTTTTATCGTAGTTTGAGCATGAGGTTGAGAATTCCGCTTAATTATTAGTTGATAATTATAGATTTTCTCATATGCTTTATACAGGTCAAGTGAGCACATACACATTACTAATATTTTGATTATGGTTTTCCACATCATCTCAATGTTCTCAAAGATTATGTTATAAATTGAGAATTAAGAATCAAAATATAAAAGTTCTCTGGCCTTCTCATTGCTAGTTTCTACTTTCTTGGACATATTTATTCACCAAAAATCATTTAGCTCCTAACATAAGCCTTATTTGAGGACTCAATATTTAACATACAAATTTACATCAAAATGTAGGGTTTCATTTAGTTATTATACTCACCCGCTACAAAAATTAATAATGTTCATATTGTCTCGACTCTCAGGTAAAGTTTTTAGTTGAAGACAATATACATGCTTTGAGATTCATGATCTTTTTCTTATGGTTAATGCATTCCACTTTACCTTGTAGACTTTTACTTTTACGATTGTGCTTTAATAATTAGAACATTGCCCCTTAGCTTACATAAAAAAAAACTAAATTGGATATTTTTTATGAATGATTGGACGCTTCCAAAATGAAGCACACAAAAATTTATTTGACTTCATCTGCACCCTATTATTGATTCTTGCTAGAGATTTCTTGACTTTCTCCTAAGTATCTTCCATGTAAATCTGAAGTCTCTTATAGCAAAACTTTGACAGTAGCCATAATAGCTCCACCACTATGTAGCAGCTACATATCATATTTGGTTAGTATGTAAGAATAAATTCTGTGTATATTTTTTGTTCAATGACTTCTACCTATATCTTCATGGGTTAATGTTTTTTTTTTCATTTCAAATAAAGATTGGACCTAATATAGGGGGAAAATCCAAAAGTACCATCGTTTAAAAAAAATTACAAAACTACCACCCAATCCAAAAAATTTACAAAACTACCACCATTAATCAACAACCGCACCCGAAGGGGTGGTTCTCCTTCAAACCGCATGGGGAAGGAACGGTTCTTGCTAGGAAAGCCGGAAAACCACACCTCCACGTGACGGCCCATGCAACCGTGCGATGGGTAGGCGATCTGACGGCGAACCGCATGCCAGCTGAGCGATCCGCGTCTGGTCGCAATAACCGTTCCCTGAGGGCGCGGTTTACACTGCGGGAAAAGGAAATCGTGTGCGGGGGACGCGGTTTCCTTTGGGGGGAAATTACCAAATCGCACCCTACCAGGCGGTCCATACACTATAAATACCCCCTCCTTTCATTTTCTTCACACCAAAACCAATCCTCTCTCTCTCTAAGTTTATCACTCTACCCATCCCACTCTCCACCAAAAAAACCTAGGAAATAGAGATCTCTTGGTTGCGGCTAAGTCCGAACTGCCATCAGAAAACTTTTCTTTGGTTTTTCCTTCAAAACATGTCAAATCCCTGTCCGGCTTCCTGAAAAAAATGGCAGATATTTTCGAAGAAGAGGGTATTTTTTATGATGACTATCAAGCGATATGTACTCATCTTACCTAAACCGCAGGGGGTGCGGTTTGTGCCTCGACATTATAAACCGCATGCTTGTGGTGCGATTTCTGCTGCCGACAAAGAACCGTTCCCCGAGCACGCGGCTTTGCTATGGCAGCCATAGAAACCGCTTCCTTAGATGGCGGTTTGACCATATAAAAGAAACCACAGCCTTAGCATATGTGGTTTATTTGTGAGTCGTTCCTTCCCCACGCGATTTGAAGGAGAACCGCCCCTTCGGGGTGCGGTTTTTTATTAATGGTGGTAGTTTTGTAAATTTTTTGTGTTGGGTGGTAGTTTAGTAAAAAAAAATTTAACGATGGTACTTTTGGATTTTTCCTTAATATAGGACGTGTAAAAAGTGTGGAATTCATTAAAAAAAGTGTGGAATTGTGGTGGTTTGGGAAACATAGTTTCCCAAATTGTGATTGATTTGAAAATTTTTAATTGTAAAGAGTGCCAACGACTACAGTATTTGTGACGGTACATGTGCATATACTTTTGAACCTTATATATAAGGTAAATAAATTATAGCCAGTGACTCCATACCGATTCCTTTTATCATCATTATATTATAATTATGTTTTATATGAAAATTTTAAGCAGGAGTTGAAAAGATGATCATTTTTTTCCTCAAAGGAAACTTCTACACTTTGTCTACTGAAAGTCGTTTCCAAAGTTCATGTGAAGCCGCAAAGTCATTTATCTGGAACGGACAATGATAATCAGAGTTGAGATTTTCGTCATATGAGAAAAAAACATGAACGAATTAACCCGTTTTCTAGCGACATAGTAATGGGAGATGTGAGTTTCGGCTTGGACTGAGTAAAAAAACACAATTTCATTGGTTATCGACATAGTTGTGTAGATGGATGAAAGATGGAGTGGATTTAATATTGGTATTTTTTTTTAAATAATATTGGTATCCTAGGGATGAAAAATTGAGATATCATTTTCCTAGAACTCTCTTGTTTTTTAATTTAGCATTATAAACAATTTTAGAAGGATAAACAATATGAAAAAACCTTGAGTTAATCCAAGCCCAATGGTCAACCCATCAATCACCACATGGATGCAGACATGCAACACAGTGTAAATGCAGGTAAAATCTCCCCAATAAAATTATGAAAAAAGGAAAATGAAAAGTTAAATTAATTGAAGTGGTTTACGGGGAGAGATGAAAATACACCTATGCCCATCCGAACTCTGCGGGCTGGCGAGAGGAGGCTGAGGTGTCAAATCGCTTATTCTGACATTGGCTTATTATATTGTGTAGATAATAATACCTACACTTTGTCTGAGTTCCGGCCAATCTCATTCAGGCCTTCTTGTAACCATTTTTCTCTTCTCGCTCTATCAGCTGCCATTCTTTTATGAAGGAATGGACAATCCGGAAGCCCATTTTCAAGTTGCTTTTCATATTTTTCCATCTTGAACTGGTGGAAAAGATGCAATGCATGACATCGTCCTTGGAGCTGCTTAAAGATGCTGGGAAAGAGCGACCCGGCCTACTTCACAGAGTTGTGTTTTGTGTACATCACAGAGGGGAGAATCGTCGAGTTCACCACTGCTCTAATGGTCGGGCGGGTGCTTCTCAAAATGGATTACCCACTGTGTCCTCCTCAACTCATCATGCCCAACAACATTAATAATGTGGAGGAAGGTCTTGAGAGTAGTAGAGCACCTTCAGCAGCAGCAGCTGGCAGCCGTCCTACTTTGTATGAACTGTTACTCCGTCCTTTGATGACAGTGCTTGACCAGGAAATCAGCTTCCTTGGGGAAAGTACCGAGAGTTTGGCTGAGAAGAAGTTGATGATATCATATGCTTTCCGTTTAATCAAGATATTTGAAACGTCTGCACACCATATTCATTCCTATCTTCACTCACAAAGATACAAGGTGCTTAGTTATTGTGTCCTCTCTCTCGAGACTTTGTTTTGTTCGATCGCTTCTCTTGGCTAGCCAACTTGTTGCAGGGAATATTAATACACATATAAACGAACGCAGGAAGTTAGTGATTTGGAGATGATAGTAGGCGACGTTGCTTCTCTGTTAAAGGACTCAGGCTTTGACGTAAAGCCTCGACATATTTGTGTGAATGATCTGAGTTTATTCTTCTTCTTTCGATTGTTTTCTTCTCAAGTGGTTGTGGCTAACTCTACAGTTGCATGGGTGTGTTTGCTTTAATTAGTTTCTCAGGTGCATCAGCAGCAGTACGCAAAACTCGGTCGAATGTGCAGAAGAAGGAAGTAATTATTGTTGAAATTACAAAGCAAATAATGCCAAACACAAACATCAGATCATCTTGCTGCAAGGTTGGTTCATCCATCAGCAATCAGTTAATGGCACGGTCTTATTGCTCATCATCCCCATTATTTGGGTACAGAGGAATTAAAGAGATCTCGGTGGCTTCACGACATGGTGTCAGTTTGAGAAACACAAGGGCAGATCAGTCAGCCAAATGGTTTGTGAACCCTATGATATCAAGGAAGTGTTGGAGGTTCATGACGATGGCCAAGAAGATCATACTACTTTGATATGTTGATTTTCGAAGTATCTGGAGTCGAGAATTATGAATTGTTTATTTACAACAATTGATTTGCAGTAGAGATCGATGGCAATTGAGACTCGATCTGTTCTCAACTGTTTGGGCGGGTATTACCCGACTGGCAATGGTTTGGAGCGAGAAATGGGTAGCATATTTCAGATATGCCCTCCCCCATTTTAGGATTTTGCTACGGGTGACATGCATGTCACGGTGACATGCACATTTCGGTCGATCTCATATAGGATTAGGTCGACCTAATATGTTGTTTTAGTGTAAAAACAATTTCATGGTGCCTACTTTGGAGATTCATATCTTACAATTGGCTAGATGGAAATTGGAGATTAATGACTTCTTTTGGAGCTGAAGTGTCTCTCTACACATTAAAGTACTTGAGAGCTCGATAGGAAGTCCAGAAGATTATTTTTGAACCTGATCAAAAGGCTATGCCAAAACTGGAAAACTGCCTGAAAATGGCCAAGTCTGCGAACGTGTTTGTGAAGCCTACTTGGGAGCTCAATTTTAGAAGCATGGATGCGATTCGAGTCCAGAGGCCTCTACCAGATTAAATTAGGTATGTTTGTATACAAATTCAAGGCATTGAATGAAAGATTAGATATCTTTAAGGCTTCAAACAAAAGGCTCGAAATTGCTACGAAAGTTGTTTTTCTGGCAGCTTACTTGTGCTCCAAGTCTGCTAGAAGATCCTTTACTTGGTAGAAGATCATTTCATTTTTTGTCGTTCATTGGATGGCTCCCGTGCTGTAATTGACTTTGATCTTACTTTCCGATTCAATCTTGGTTAATGCTCTGCATACTGCTAGAAGATCCTTTACTTGGTAGTCTGGGTTCTTCTCATAATCTCGTAGGTCATCTCTGGTAGGATAATCATGGTTTGATACTCCCATAAGGATAACTGCCTTTGATCAGACCAATAGTTTGTCTTGATCGAATATGGGGTTGCTGCTTGTATACTTGAGAAATATTTCTCGTTCCTTGGCAAATAGCTCAAGATATCTTCTGATTACGATCCTCATTCTTTGTGGGAAGTATTCAAATACTTTCATGGTTGTAGTGTAGATAGTGTCGATTAAACCATATTGATGGAACTCAAAAGAGAGTTCTGCTGATGCTTCTTATGTGATTACTGCTTTGGGTCCTCCTCGACTGACGGGGTAAAAACCCATGGTTGTGTGTTTTTCTTCGTAGTTGATTATCATATCCCAGTTGGATACAAAATCTGAAAGACTGGTTTTAATTGTTCTTCTTTTACTTTGGTGGTTGGGATGCTCTTGATACTGGGTATCTTCATGATAAGTTTCTGTGATTGTTGCTCTTGATTCTTGACTGGTTCTTTCATTGCCATCACCTTGTAAGACTGTCTAAATGCTTCTTCGGTTGCTTCTTTTGTTTTAAATGATTGATGTTGGACTGGTTTGTCGTTGATGTGTTGGCTAGCGATGGCCCAGTTGTGATATACTCCTCGATATGGTCCATTGAATATGACATACCACTTGCTGCCTTTTCTGTCGTCTTCTTCATAGTGGGAATCTCTTCCTTCTTTTTCTTCTTGTTCAACAATGTCGGCCCATTGTGTCGTCTTTTGTGTATTATTGCTGGTAGTAGTAGATGACTGTGTTGCTGCTGACTTTTCTTTTTCAGCAAGTTCTATGGTGGGTGCTGATGACTGTCGATTACCAGAGCTAATTGATAGAGTACTAACGTCGATGTAGTTGATCTTTAACTGTTGCTAAATAACATTGATTGATTGAATTATTGCTTCTAACTCCCCCCCCCCCCCCCCCCCCCCCCCCCCCCCCCGCAAAGGAGAAGTTGTTGTTCCAGTGTTGTACTCTTTTCCTGCTTCTGCTTAAGCTGATTGATGAGGGTTTTTATAAATCCTTCCATTTCGAGTTAGTGTGTCGCTAAACGGATTGTTGCTGGACTTGATATATTTCAGATAAGGATTGTAATAATGGAGTTGTTGTTGCCACCTGATTAATCTCCCTTTGTTGAAATCTGCTTGTAGCTTGTACCTCCAAAAACCTGTTACATATTTAGAATCGATTTGAAGTTCAAACCTTGTCGATAATAATTCAAGTTTCCATTTTTTTAATGCTCGTAGACAAGCTAATGTTTCTAATTCATGGATTGGATAGTTCTACTTGAACCAATGACTTTTTTCTACTTGTTATCAAAATAAATAAAAAATTACCAAGTGCTCATAGTGACAAAGGAAGATATTAATAAGAGGATGCTCAACATCCAATTCACACTCAACAAAGTAGCAGAGATGTTGAGCTCCTATCAATTTCCAATGCATAGGTCACATGTCAACCCAGCCCTCGTGACTAAAAGTGGATTGATATTGTGGATTGATATTGTGATGAGCGTAGGGGTGCAAATGAGCTAACCTGTCCACGAGCGGCTCGAGAAAAAATCATTCAAAACTTGGCTCATTTACTAATGAGTCGAGCTCAAACTTCACCTTGCTCAGCTTGGAAGACTCGCGATCCAGCTCGACTAAGTGGCTTGTTGAGCTCAACTCCTGTGCTAGCTCATTTTTTAACTATAAGTTGATTTGATAGTATGGCTAGCGAACGTCCTAGACTAGGAACTTATGGAGAATTGATTAATGGTTAATCTGTTGGCTTATTGATAATTCATAGGTTTGAGAGATTGTATATACCATCACATATAATATTTAAGAATATGAGCACATGACCAAATATGTCTTGTTTATATTTGTAAAGACACATTATGTATCATAGATTGTTTAGATACTAGTTATTATTAAATAACATAATATAAACAATTAAAATTTAGGAACTAAATAATAATATGAGATGAGACCCGATCTCACGAGTTGATTGACGAGCAACACTCGAGTAGAGTTTGTGAGCTCATTAACAAGCCAAGGTCGAGTCGAGCTTGATTCAAACACAAGGTAAGGTTTTAGTAAACAAGCCGAACTTGAACTCGATTTGTTTATTAACGAGCAGAACTCAAATTAGGTCAAAATTCTGCTCGACTCGACTCAGTTACAGCATTAGACGAGCATCGTACTTTGCGTTAACAAAATCCCTCATTTTTCTCGCTATAGTATGTGTTTGCCTCCATCTCCCTAATGTCAATTTTCCATGCCTCTGGTAAGATCATTCGTTTGGCTACGTACTTTAGAATAAAGTTTCGATTTGTGACAATAAATCCCCTCGACTCACCATGTTTATCTTTGTCATAATACCATCAATTATCCACTTTCAATGACCATATACCAATGTTGCTTGCACTGCCACTCAAAAATGGCAGCCCAATGTGCTTGACTTTGAATTCTTTTTATTGCTTGCCTCGGATCCGAGTATAAGATTTGATCATATATATAGTCATGGTTGTAATCCATATCAATATGTTCTCCATCAATTTTCTTGATTGACCCCTATATGAAGAAAACCCTATACCTAGGTCGATCTCCTTTGTTGCTCTACAAGCTTGTATCATAAAAAGATGATCTCTTGTGAAGAATTTGGTGTAATCAACACGCCCACCACCACCATCATCTCGAGAACCTTCCTGCAAAAAATTTACGAGAAAAATATAACGAAATACATCAATTATCTAAACATGTTCATTTGATTTGTTCAAATATATCATTTCTATAACTAAATCTATCATACTGCAACTTATGTATTTCCTAACAAAATCTAGTAGTGGTCTAAGCATGTTCATTTCAAGTTACCTACACAATTGCCACCACCATAAATTAAAGCAATGAGCTTGTCACGAGTAATATTATAAGCAATCTCTTTAATCTTCTTCTTGGTCAAAGCAGTATCTTCTTGATCATCGTCGTGAACCTCCAGCCCTTCCTTAATATCATAGGGTTCACAAACAATTTGGTTGACTGATCTGCCCTTGTATTTCTCAAACTGACACCATGTCGTGAAGTCACCGAGATGTCTTTAAATCCTATGTACCCAAATGATGGGGATGATGAGCGATAAGACCGTGCCATTAACTGATTGCTGATGGATGAACCATCCCTGCAGCAAGATGATCCGATGTTTGTGCTTGGCATTATTTGCTTTGGAATTCCAGCAATAATTACTTCCTTCTTCTGCACATTCGACCGAGTTTTGCTGACTGCTGTTGATGCACCTGAGAAACTAATTAAAGCAAATACACCCATGCAACTGTAGAGTTAGCCACAACGACTGGAGAAGAAAACAATCGAAAGAAGAAGAAGAAGAAGAAGAAGAAGAAGAAGAAGAAGAAGAAGAAGAAGAAAGAATAAACTCATGTGTATGTATTTACCACTTCAGATCATCCACACGAATATGTCGAGCTTTTACGACAAAGCCTGAGTCCATTAGCAGAGAAGCAACGTCGCCTACTATCATCTTCAAATCACTAACTTCCTGCGTTCATTTATATGTGTGTATTAGTATTCCCTGCAACAAGTTAGCTAGCCAAGAGAAGCTATCGAGGAAAACAAAGTCTCGAGAGAGAGAGAGGACTCAATAACTAAGCACCTTGTATCTTTGTGAGTGAAGATAGGAACGAATATGTTGTGCAGACGTTTCAAATATCTTGATTAAGCGGAAAGCATATGATATCATCAACTTCTTCTGCTTGCAAGCCTGAACAGCGCAACTCTCGCTACTTTCCCCTAGGAAGCTGATTTCCTGGTCAAGCACTGTCATCAAAGGACGGAGTAACAGTTCATACAGAGTAGGACTGCTGCAGGTTGCTGATGATGAAGGTGCTCTGCTACTCTCAAGACCTTCCTCCACATTATTAATGTTGTTGGGCATGATGAGTTGAGGAGGACGCAGTGGGTAATCCATTTTGAGAAGCACCCGCCCGACCATTAGAGCAGCTGTGAACTCGACGATTCTCCCCTCTGTGATGTACACAAAACACAGCTCTGCGAAGTAGGCCGGGTCGCCGGCTTTCCCAGCATCTTTAAGCAGCTCCAAGGAAGATGCCATGCATTGCATCTTTTCTACCATTTCAGGGTGGCAAAATATGAAAAGCAACTTGAAAATGGGCTTCCGTATTGTCCATTCCTTCAGAAAAGAATGGCAGCTGATAGAGAGAGGGGGAAAAAAATGGTTACAAGAAGGCCTGAATGAGATTGGCCGGAGCTCAGACAAAGTGTAGGTATATACCATAACACCTGGATAGCCTTGCTGAATTCGGAATCAAGGATTTGACTTATGGCGAGATTTGGTGGTGGTCGAGTGAAGAACTCCAGCTCCGGATAGTCTTCTCTGAGGGGAGCCCTACAAAATTAAAGTCATGGATGAGTCAGCCAGCTAGCTAGGGGATTTGTATATAATAATAGCTAATTTACATTTTGTTAGTTACCAAATATAGTCGGGCTCTGTATGCTCCAGCCGCAGCCAAGTCAACTCGCTGCACTTCGATATTGTGCCAATGCAGCAAGACGAAAACAAAGTTATGCTTCATATATATATCAACTTAAGAGCTAGCTAGAGTCGTTTGTTTGTTAATTATGCTACTAATTGATCCGAATAACTTGAATTGTTGAGAAAGTTCGCAGCCCGAGCAATTATTCATTCATGTGATCATTTGCGCTTAATCAGCGACACGTACCCGTTACGGAGAAAAGGCGTAGATAAGCCAGCCGCCCTGAGCGCATCCTCGATGTCGACATACTCTTCCGTCTCCGTCTCCGCCGCGTCCAATAAGGCGGAGACGCCGCGCGGGCCGGCCCTCTCGAAGGCCTCAAGCAACTGTAGGGATTCAGTGAGGATCGGAATCTTCACCTTCTCCAAATAATTGCGGAGACCGTCGCCACGACCATCGTCGGGTCGTCTCTGGCGCCAGACGTCGGCGAGGCGGACGGCGGTGACGTAAGCGAGCTGGGCGGCCAGGAAGTCGCGGAGAGAGAAGCAGGCGAACCGAGGGTTGGAAGGCAGGCCCCAGCGGAGGAAGGTCGGGGAGAGGACTCGGCCCGGCAACGCCAGCAGGAGGGAGATCAGCCTCCAGGCCCAACCGTTCCGCGCGTAGGACAGGATCCGGGCCTCCAGTGGGCCGTGGTCGGTGATCCGGCCCATCAGCTTGAGTGTGGCCCGAGTGTCGGGCCCGTCGCGGATGAACGCGTAGGTAACCCAGAAGATGAGGTCCGAGAGGGTTGTGGGGTAGAAATCGGTAACCCTCGTCTCCAGTTTTCCCCGTATGTCGTCGATGCGGAGCAGCAAGGACTCGATGGGAAGGATTGTACAGAATTCACCGTACTCGTAGCTAGGGGCTAGGGCGCTGGGAGACGCGCCGTGGCGAACGAACAGTTCGATCAGATCCGGGAACCTCTCCCGAACCGCGTAATGGATCGGCCTCAGTCGGCGGCCGGACCAGGTGTCGGCGGGGATGAGCTGGTTGAGGTCCAGTCGGTTGGTTTCGATGAGCGCGGTGAGGTGGCCCACGGCTCTGAGGTCTATCAATCGGGTGACGATCCAAGGAGGGCAGGTTTCTTCTTCAGGGCCCAGAAACCCCAAGGCCCATTCCGCGTCCTTGGAGGATGCTCGGGATAACATGGCTCGCTGCTGCTCCGCCTCCTCCTCCTCGTCCATATCTCTGCCGGCGGGGAGTGACTCACCCTCGCCGCCGCTGGAATTTTTCATGTTTTGGAACCAAAGACAAGGAAGAAGATGGATCGAGATTGGTAGTCGGCGCAGAGAAGAAAAGGAAAAGTAGCGTCCTCCCTCGTCCCTCCAAGTTTCCGATCGATCCAATTGGGGTTTAACTAGGGTTCTAAATTGCCAATGATTTTTGTTTCTAATTTGTGGATCTCTTGGAATAACCGCGTCATTCTATTTCTCTGTGGTTGTAAAATATATATGAAAAGGCAAAAACAATACTCCTTTTATTGCTAAAAAGAAAAAAAAATTAACAATAAACTAATGCATAGATTCTAATGGGCTAACCACTAATCATAAAATAAAAGAGTTGAATGGGCCTGACCTACACGGGATTTGCCCATCAAGTAAAACAAATGAAGATCATGAGTTTGTCATTCTATAACAAGCTATTTTTTCTAGCATAATATATATTATGCTATTATTTTATATTTTAGTGGCTAAAATATAATGTATTTTAAAGTTATTCAATGGTTCAACCTCAACCAACCCAATTAGTCCAATTTTTATCATTTCAAATATATATTATTTGATATCATAATGATTAAATTATAGTGTATATTATAAGGAATCGTTTGGTATTTGTTAGTAAAAAACTAAACAAAAAGATATATTTGGTTATTTATAACATTAAAACGATCCTAAACATTTTCATTTTCCTTTCGAAATTCTATAGTTTTATTCCCGAATCAGTGATGTGCAAATGGCGAATTGCAGTCATCTCTTTTCTTTCATTATTATTTTTTTTTCAAATAGAAAGTTTAAAAGTTAAGAATAATTAGAGTTGGCATGGGTCGGTCAAACAGGCTGAATTTCAAGTTTTGGCCCATTTTGATCAAGTCTAATTTATAATGTTGTCGAAACCGAACCGGAGCATGATCCATTAATGCGAAAGGCTCACGCTTTAGTGATCCAACCGATATTAGACCGTTTAAAAACCGTTAGAGAACCGGTACCTAATAAACGTTATCAGTATAAATAGTGGAGATTTCTTAATCAGAGCTCATCTCTTTCCTTCGAAATTGTGAAATGGAAATTAGGATTCAGTTTGAGAGCCCGTCGTTTTTGGTTTATTTCAATTTTCAATTTTCTGCAATTTTTTTTAATTAAATTTAACTGTTGAATGGCAAAAACCGGACGAGTGGCTCGATCAGCTCGAGCGGTTAACCACCTTGGCCGCTCGCCAACCGCTACATAAAACCGGAATGGTTTCGAGCCGGTTTTTGATCGGGTGGCGGTTTTACCAGTCGCGCCGAGCGGCTCGGCTCGGCTTTAATAACACTGCTAGTTTATAATCACATGGTTCCCTGATACCCGATAAAAATCTCGATCCAAACCAGTTTGGCAGGTGAGTCCGTGTTTACCACCATTTTCCAGGGATACAGGAACGGTGGTTCCTATCCCAAAACGTGTTGTTCATTTTTTATTTCTTTAGATTTTATCATGGCTTGGCAAAAAACCAGACATAATGATGGCAAGATGAAAGTTTTATAAAGCAAATTAATCGGCCAACGGGCCGAGTAAAAGCTAGCAACGATTGTGAGATGCTCATTTCCCGAAAACCGGCGAGATAGGCGATTTTTTATTCGATTTTCTTGAATTCGGTTTCTATAAAACTTACTCCACCTCATCATATTACTAGAAACAATATTGTTTCACAAGGTAACAGGTACTTGGTTTTGGTTCATAAGGCTGATTTTTGATTCGTTGCGTCATTCATGTCTCTTTCCTACTAAAATTCACTATTTTTATCACGTGTTCCTAAAAAAAAAATATACAACAATAAGCTATACACCCCATTACATTATCAAATTTCATACCTCTTCCTCTGGCCAAATGACCGGGGCATGCTAGTATTATATATACCACTTCAAGTCATTCACAGAAGTGTGTCTTGAGATATTAAAGCGAAGCCTGATTTCCTTGGCAATGAATGAAGCAACATCGCGTAGGTACTATCATCTTAGAATCCCCAAGCTCCTGCATGCATTTACGTGTTCCCGCCAAGAAGTTATAGCAACGAGAAGTTCTCGAGGAAAAATCTGGTTGTTGTTAAGATCTTACATCGAACAATAGTTCCCTTGTGGGGATGGGATGGGATGGCTTGCTAATTGTGTATTGAGTTAGCACGGTGATGAGATGGCCTAATCTAATAGTTATCTGCCCGTAGGGGTGTTTTGGGAAGATAAGCATTGTCTATGACGTCATCACATGATCTCAGGCTTTTGTGCGGATTTCGTGGGTGGGTTGGGTTCCCAATAATCCTCTTTTCCTTTTTAATTTCTTTACATTTTTTGTTTTCTGCATTCTGCGCCTTTTCCTCTTCGTTCTTCTGTTTTCTTTCATCATACGAACATCTCACACCTGCGTCTATAGATTATGCCTGACCGTTGTCGAATTCAGGCTCGCTCGAGCCGCCGTTTCTGTCTACGAATTCAATCTCGCCTGAGTTTACAAGCGGTTTGTTCTTCGGACTCGTTGATCAGTGGGTTTCTTGCATGTCTTCTTTCTGTGTCAGTTCATTTCTCAGTTTTTGGATACTGATTGTCCATCTTGTTTGGAGGAGGGCTAGCATTTTGTTTCATGGGATTGAGAGGAGGGATAGGGTTTTGTTGCGTCGTAGTAGCGTTTTCCAACTCTAGAATTCGAGATTTGGGGTCCGCTTGTCTCATCTGTTGCTTTGGTTTCATAGAAATTATATTGACATGGGTAGGGTTTCACCAGGGTAGTAGTGTTATAAGGAGAGCTTGATGTCGTGATTCATAATTTATTGATTTGATGTGATAGGAATTTTATGGGCACTAGTAGGTTTTATAGTTGGGTTTCCCAATGAATTATAATGTTGTGCTCTTCATTTTAACTTTGTTTGTTCCATTCAACAGTATGTTTCATCTATGAGTGCTTTGAAAAATTGGTAGTATTTTGTTAGTATTTTAAGCTTATAGTTTTCCCCAACTTTGTTGGTTTTACAATTGAATGGGTATGGAGGTTTTTTGTGTGTAGCGATTTGCGGAGATGCAATTGATCTTAGAGGTCGTTTGGAGAATATGAGTTTAAATCTATAGATTGTAAACAATCTAAAGATTCTAACTCTTCGGATTGTTGAAAATAGATTTTAAAATGTTTATTGTTTGGTAGCTGTGATTGTTTAACATTCAATGGTAATAAAAATAAAAAATTTATATTAAATAACATGTTTATCCTTAATGAAAAAATAGAGTAGTTCGAGAAATATTAAAAACTTTGTTAGTAAATATATTTAATATGATAAATAAATAATAGAAAGAGAAAAGGTAGGAGAAAAAAAAATCTCATGAATCAAGATATAGAATCTCTCTGATTATGAGAGATTTGATATCCATAGATTTTAGAGATTTGAAATCTCTAAAGCTAAAATCCACAATACAAAAAGCAACAAAAAAACATAGCTTTTACAAAATCTACGGATTTAATGAATCCACGGCCTAAATCCCATTCTCCAAACGACCCCTTAATAGATGCTTTTGTTTTGTTCTTTTGTTTCAGTGCTAGGCTCGTGAACTGGTAATGTGCAGGCGAGGAGATAAGAAAGTTTTGGGATGCAGCAGCTATTTTTTAGTAGTAGTGAACTAGTGATTGCTTATTTGTAGTAGTGGTTGTCAATTTTTGGGTAGTGTTTTCTATTCCTATGGTAGTGTTTTTAGAGTTTGTGCAACATAATAGTATGTTTACTATGTAGTAGTAATAAATTCGATTCGATTTGTGTTGGGAAGTAGCAGTGATTTTTTTAGTAGTACCGATTTGTGTGTTTGTAGTAGTGGTTCTCATTTTTTGTGTAGTGTTTCCCATTTCTATGGTAGTGTTTTCTGAGTATCTGTACTCTGTAGCAGAATAATATGTTTTTATGTAGTAGTAATAAATTCTATTTTCTATTGGTTTAACTTTATGTACAAAACAGCAAATCAACTTCTTTGCAAAAACAACTACAATTGTGAAGAAACACTATCCTTGGATGGACTATAATTCTTCTAAGATACACTACTATCTTGAAAACACTATTACGTTGTTGAATAATGAATGAAAACACTATTAATGATTTTAAATACTACTCTACCAAAACACTACTAATAACCAAACTAGCTTTTTACCCGACACGTTGGTCGGAGAGATTTATTTTATAATTTATATTAATTAATTTATATGTTTAAATCATTTGGATCTTCTAATATTTTGTGTTCTTGATTCATAACACAGTTTGTAGTATGTCTATATTGAAAATTTCCAATATTTAGCACACTCACTTGTGATGCTTCGGTTTTCTAATAATAAATTATGTCATTGTCACGTTCCATCTCTAAGAGTAGCCCGAATACATCAATTTTGGATTTTACTTGGTAACATTAGTCTGATATGATGATATAACATATGGTCACAACTAATCAATACATTACCCTAACCCCAAAACCTTCAATTTTGAACACAAACCCAAAATCCCAAATTATAAACGCTAAACCTAATCCTAAATCCCTAAATCCTTAAATAAAGACAATCTTGAATGTGTTTTTTGAAAATTCACGTGTTTCTTGTTCATAATACCATAAGCGACGATTGATACCATTTTGACATGAATCACATGCTCAGAATGACGATTATGAGACGAATGCATTGAATGCACCCAAAAAAGTGGTGCACCGAATATACCACCACATATATATATATATAGTTCAAGCGAGCGTGGGCCAAGAGTACGCTATACTCTTGCATTCACACTACCATACGACCATTGAGTTTTACTATTTAAACCTCGAATTAACCTGAGTTTTTTGGGGCATGATACTATACCCTAACCTCTAATATGTGAACTCCAATCCCTAATTCTCTAACCTCTAATTTATGCACATACTTCATCATACCTATCTTCTATCGTATCTAGCGAAAAATCAAAAGTATAGCATACCTTGATATTATATTATATTATATTATATATATATATATGGTGGCGTATTCGGCGCACCCACTTTTTTGGGTGCACTCAGTGCACCCGCCTCATAATCATCATTCTGAGTATGTGATTCATGTCAAAATGGTATCAATTGTTGTTTATGATATTATGAACAATAAGCACCTAAATTTCAAAAAAAAATCATTTAAGATTTACTTTAATTTGAAGGAGTTAGGATTTAGGGGTTTAGGGTTAGGGTTTAGGTTTACATTTTGCGATTTTGCATAGGGATTCAAAATTGAAGGTTAAGGGGTTAGGGTAATAGATTGATTTGTTATGATTCTATGTTATATCATCATGTTAGATTGAGAGTACTAATTAAAGTTCAAAATTTGAGGTATTATGGACACTTTTAGAGATGGGTGCACTGAGTGCACCCATAAAAGTGAGTGCACCGAAGTAGCCACCTATATGTATATATATATAGTGTGTGTGTGTGTGTAGTAGACTCAAAATTATTAAGATATTTCGTCAAACCTATCTTATCTCGCCTAATACTCATATTAAAAGTACTACTTGCCTACCCCCATCCCCGGGATAGAGATCCCGCTTTTACCCACATAACAACAGACAACCGTTGGGGTTGTCTATCATTCTATATGTAATATATAAAGAGGCAACTCCTAAGATTCTGCTATTTATATCTTATCCTTTCCCGCCGCCCCCTTTATGGAGAATAAAAGGGTAGGGATGATAGGATCATAGCTTGATATGGTTTTCTTATGTTCGTCATAGCGAAGGTTATGTTCTTTTTTTGCTATTTTTGGGCTTCTTTTCATTTTTCTTTGGCACCTATGGTTGTGATCAGAGGCATTTAGCACCAGAAAGAGATTGGAATTTTAGGTCATTTGGAAATCTAATACACATTCATGATCCTCGAGTTTGGACAAACTCTCGACCAATGTTGTAAAGATTAGTGAGAAGTTGAGATTATTGGATAAATATGTTTATCCCAATTGACTATCTCACTAAAAACTGCCAACCTTTATTTGGTAAATGTCTACGTTAGTAGTTGATAAAACGTGATGTTTATCGTAGATTCTCAACAAAGATTTCTCTAACCTTCACATATGTTTTATTTTTCAAGGAATCTTGTGTCTTAGCCTAGGGTTTGAAGTCAAAGTTCGTCAACAATCATATTTAAGTCATTTTGAACATTTTTATTTATAATTGTCAACGATAACTCTAAGTCTGAAAGAAAATTTCTTAGCATACGACTTAGGACCTCAATAGAGTTTGTTCAATCAACCTTATATAGAGCAAATATTATTAATGTAAACATAGGCCACATTATAAAATTATTGCACATGTGATTGCTCTTCATTTGAGTAGTTTAGGGTAGAACATGATCTAAATGAATAAGAAGTCTTTTTTAAATAAATAACTATAACTACTCGATCAAGATTATACTCTGACATTTTGGCTCAATAATACTTTTTTTATTTTATAGACAAATACTTTACAAATAAAAGAGTGTTTCATTGCAACAAAATATAAAGTAATATAGTTTATTTTTCAAAGGTAATTGAATGTAAAATATTTATTTTCTCTCTTTTCGTATATATTTTGTTTAATCGATAAAAATATTATTTATTTATGTATATGTTTGTTTAATTTTTCCATCAAAATGTAACTTATCATTCAACTTTAGTAAAAATGAGTAGAAAATTTACTTCATAAGGTTTAATCATATATTTTTTATTTAAAAAAAATATAAAATATGTCGCTCTCTGTTTTCTTATTTATATTTTTTTACTTGACAAAAAAATTATTATTTATGTGTGTTTGGTTAAGTTTATCAACATGTAACTTATCATTAAAACCAAAAAGAATAAATAGATAAATGAAAAGGAATAATTGGATAAAAGTAATGAAAATATTAAAGAAGATAGAGGTAGCTACATAAATACAATGATAACTAATTTTTTTGTTTGTAAAAAAGTTGTCCAACTTGACAAATTGTGGATCCTTCAAGTGCTTATGTGGCAAGAGATTGCTTTTGAATTGTCATAATATATAGTATAGATAGATAGATAGTTAGACACTGACCACTCAAAATATATTCCATTTTTTATCCCTTAAACTCGGCATTAAATCACCCATTTTAATTAATCCATGTTTGTGATTTAGTTTGTTGGGAGAAGGTTATGCTGGATCTTATACCACTCTCTAACACGCACCCTCAAACGAAAGCCAACTCATGGGCTTGAAGTTTGCACAGGCCACCATACCATGTGCTTGAAAAGAACTGTTAATATTGGGGGCCGTGGAGATTCGAACACACGACCACTTGGTCAAACCAGCTTTGATATCATGTCATAAACCAGTTGGTCCCAAAAACTCGAGTTGTTGGGAGAAGGTTATGTTGGATCTTATATCACTCTCTAACATCTTTGTTAAGAACAGTTTAATATCAAGAGTTGTTGGGAGAGGCTTAATAATATATCTTATATCATTTATTAGCACGCTCCCTCATAAGAAAGTCAGTTATACGGAAATTGAAGTTTGCACAAATCTGAATACCGTGTACTTAAGAAATGACGTCGTCGAAATTCGAACACAAGACCTTTCGATCAACCATTCTCAATTAAGTGTTTCTAATTTTTTAAATCGATTACCTATTGTACCTAATTTAACTATTTTTCTTTTGATTCAGAGTGAATCGAAGTTTTAGATGAGAGACAAACATTTTCTCTTTATACCCCATTCTACCTTTATCAGGCAAAAAAAATGGCCCCGTCACAAAGAAACACGGTATTTTTCCAACTCTCGTACCATGTTGAAGAGGGTACTAAAAACAACCCCCCCCCCCCCCCTTATTACCATCAATTTAGTGAACCAACAACAAAAGAAAACACACCCCTCATTAGCATTTACTCTCGAACAGTCAAATGATGTGGCCACTAAAAATATTTTATTTCATTTGTGATCACTAACTTTATACTCTCATATCATCTATATCACTCTCCCTCCATTTCCATCAACTTTATCCTACGTGGTAGCCAACTCTCATAATTGACTGTTAAATGTGTGATGTGGCAATCAAAAGGTAATAAAAGTTTAAATTTAATTTTTTAAATTTTCCACCTCATTATCACATTCATTTAAAACAAAAAAAAACAAAAAAAGCTAATTTTTTATATAGTAATTAGTTTAATCCTAGTTTTAAGGGGTTTTCCTTTTTATCATCTATAGTAATTAGTTTATTCTTAATATTTGTGATATTTGAAATATTTCATATGTGATTTAGAAGTGTTTAATCCTGCTTTACTAGGTCGATAGTTTGTTGAGGGTTAGTGCCTACTACAATAAATCTAGACTTGGGACGGTACGAGATGGTTTGGATTAGAGGAGACTAAGTGAATGAGTTGGTTTTTGGTAATTGCTTATGACGGTTAAGAAAGAAAACTATCGAGAAAGATATCAGGAAAAATATGAAGAGAGAGAAATAGGGGTCCGGCAGAAGGGGCTGGCCGGACTAAGATAGGAATAATTTCATATTGATTGCTTCGGGAAAATGTGTATTAATGTATGTCATCTCTAGAGACTTTTTGATCATATTTTTACTATGTAAATCAGGTTAAATGTCACTAATGTTATGTCTGGGTGTATCGGGGTGTATCTGAAAGCTTGAGTGTATTTAATAATGGTTAAGCACATGTCTATCTATGACACTTTGTTTGTACTTTTAAGTGGTTCCAAGTTTTGTAATCACTTAAAATATTCAAGCATCAATCTAACGAGCCATATTGGCGAGTGACCATGCTGTTTGGTAGGTTCTTTCTCTCTCGTGCGAACAAACGTCTTATTATTATTGTCTTAAAGAGCGCCCTTCCCAAATTTAGGGTCTCTGTTGGGTCTTATTTGACTTATTGGAGTCGGAAGAGAGTAATTGCGCTTTTTTGTGCGAGCTGGTTTATTGGATTACCGGTTGGGTCATGCTTTGACTTATCTGGGCTAAGAAGAAGTATGCTTATTATTTAAGGTATTAGTGATAGTTGGTTGAAATTTTGTATTTTATCAACTAGGCAAAGTCGAGTAATGAGTGTATTTATTGAGTGTCTTTTACATTGATGTTTGGAACATGTAGAGACTTTTATCCAAATGTGTATGGCTATGGTGATTTGAACCTTTTCATTTATATTAAAAGTATTTACAGATTATCTAACATCAATTTATTCTTACGTCACACAATTCGAGGGGCATGGGTTGGCGCTCCAATGCAGTCAAAATCGCGCTTTAAAACTTAAAAGCTTACGCTTTTACCCTTTTGGGTCACTAAAATGATTTTACATAGAATCGTCATTTTCCCTTACAAATGTAGTCAAAATCTACGTTTTAAAACTTAAAAGCTTACGGTTTTACGCTTCTAGGTAGAAACACGCTTTTGACTGCACGCTCCTACTTTGGAGCACAAAATTATGAACTTGGAGTGTTGGAATTAAACTTTAGCCTATGTAATTTCCCGGAATCTGTCATCTTGTCAGATTATCAAAGGTTGATAGAGTTACCTGATTTCACGATGTAGACCGTCTGGATCTTGATGCGGAATCTGAAAGACGAACTTTGGCCGGACGATACTTCTAAGAGCACGACCCGGGAGGTAGCGTGATCTTCCTCAACCAAGCCTCCTTAGTCCACTAACGAGAATCCTCTGATCTTCCTGATGGGGAGAAGAAGAGAGTGTTTGGTCTTGGTGTATTGGAGACCACAACCTCAAACTCCTTATATACTAGTTTCACATGGGCTCCCATAAAGCCCAAGTGGACAAGTATTGGGTTTCCACCCATTAGACCCATATTGGGCTTGAGTAATCATGGGCTCCATGTATTGATCACTTATAGTCTGCCCATCAAAACCAAATAGTTAATATATGTGTTGTGAATTTGCAAGCCCACTTAAGTTAGGAACTTAAATTCCTAACATGGAGAAATTAAAAAAAAACATTCGCGAATTAATAGATGTAACCAGGATACAAGGGGCGGTTGTTTCACCAAAGACATACATATAGTGGATGAGAGTAAGAACGAAAAATAATTAACGACAATACAAGCTCTAAGTAGGGTCCAGATTATCAGACTGATTATTTGTCAATCACCAACATCGACTAGGACTCAATAGAATTCAACTTATTTGTATATGTTGTGAACTCAGTAAGATTAAGAGCTCATGACTATATTGAAAGAGATAGATTCGATGAGAATATTGAGGTCGCAACTAATCTAGAGATTGTTTGTACTGGTACATGAATTTTTTGTATTAGAATCCTAGAATTTTATAGATGATAGGCTTTTGATGGAAGGGAACGAAGGATTGACGGTAGATGGCTAAAAAAAATTGGAAGATGAAGCAAAACAGGAAGATGAAGCAAAACAGGAAGATCATGGGATGGAATACTAGGATGCTCGTTGAGAAAACTTAGGAGTTGATGTTGGAGGGGCGTAAGTGTATTTTTTTCTTTTATAAATAAAATTTACAATACTAGTGGATTTTGATAATTTTGTATATGATATAAGTAACAAATTGTTCGAATAAGCTATTAAACTTTGTTACTTTTTTCTTGATCTAGATGTACGTATTGAATTATAAAAAAATAGAGTTGTTGTACTATTTTGTCAAAATTTGATAATATATTTAATAATTTTTAAATAGAAATATTAATACTTTTTTTAAAAATCAATCTCCTTGTGTTTATTTAAATGGGGGAGCCCAGATTATTGTCTTTACAAAGATGGTGGGCCAAAAAGTAAGGTGGATCAGAGACCCAAATCTCCTCACTGTCCCAAGGGCAGAAGGTATGTGCTAGCATGTGGGCCGGTTCATTACATTCTCGGCCTGTGAACAAAATTCTTATGTCCCCAACCCGATCAGCTTCATCCCTAATTTCTTCACACACCTCTTCCACCTCCAAAGCCGAGCGCATTTCCCGCAGCAGCTTCTGAACCAAGAGCAAGCAATCCGTCTCTACATCCAGGGCTGTGAAATCGTACCTCTTAGCCAGGTCCAGGGCAAACATTATACCCATCGCTTCTGCAATTTCCGGTGCCCACTTCCTTCTCGTCCGCTTCACCGCTGCCAATCGGAATCCGCCGTTGTGGTCGCGAACGATGACTCCCCACCCTGTTCCTCCCGATCGGAAAATTGCAGCATCCACGTTCGCTTTCAGTCGATCTGGGTTGGGTGGGTTCCATCGGAGGGATCTTTGGTTCGCCAGATAAGTACTCTGCCTTTGCTTCGATTGGAATTCGCTTAACCACTCCAGTGCATGTGGGATAATGTCTCTCTCTTCCCTTTTCTTACCATTCCATAGGTGATTGTTGCGTTCGTGCCAAATATACCATAGAACCACTAGCAAAGCTTCAATTGCCTCCGACTTCTCGCTCTCCTGGACCTCACAGCACCATTCCTCACAGGTTCTTTCCTCCCCCCTACTGAATAGACCCCTAAGCTCCGATGGTTTCCAAATTCGCCTAGTCCACCCGCAGTTTAGGAATGTGTGGTATTGGGTTTCTTTTAAGCCACAGAAAGGGCATTCCTCGCAGCCTCTCCTTGTTCGGTCAACTAGATTCCCCCCTGTAGGAAGGATATTATGGATCCATCTCCACGCAAACACCCTAACTTTTGGTGGAAGGTTTAATTGCCAAATCTGATTCCAGTGACCGGCACATAGAACTCTCCCACTCCAGCATCCTGGTTTTCTTTCCATCTCACATAGGCTGACTTAACCGTGTATAACCCTCTCTTCTCCAGCCCCCGCACTCTTCTATATGGGCAAGGTTGCCGCGGAATTGGGATCATCTGTATCAGGGCTCGATCATTAGGGTGGAAGTGGGTTTGAAGTTGCTCATTTCTCCATAGCCTGGCTTCGAAGTCTATCAGTTCATGGACCATGACAGGGTTGTCCACCTCCTGATGACTTGAGGCGATTTTGTAGCTTTCTGGCTCTAGTAGCCATTTGTCCTCCCAAATCTTTATCTGAGTACCATTACCCACCCTCCAACGTAAGCCTTGAGCCACTAATTCTCTTGCAGATATGATGCTCCGCCAAATGTAGCTAGGGTAGTGTCCCATCCATGATGTCTTTATTCAGGAAGTATTTCGCTTTGAGGACCCTGCTTGCTAGGGAATTAGGCATCTAAGTGAGGTTCCAAACTTGCTTACCTAGAAGAGCTAGGTTGAAGCCTTTTAATTCACGAAACCCCATACCTCCTTCCTTTTTAGGTCGACAGAGGTCCTTCCAACTTTTCCAATGTGTTCTTCTTTCTTGCTGGCTTTGCCCCCACCAAAAATTGGCTAAGATTCTCTGTATTTTATCAAAACTTCTTTAGCATTTTATCAAAACTTCTTTAGCATTTTATCAAAACTTCTTTAGCAGCACTCGACAGAAGCTTGCTTTTCCAAAGCTTGACCTTCTTCCTGATCCTATCAACCAAGTAGCTGAAAATTGATCTTTTCTTCCTACCTACCACTGTGGGCAGGCCCAAGTACTTCTCGTGAAATTCCACTAGCTTCATGCCAAGTAAATCAGCCATCTCCAATTGGGTCTGATTAGGGATGTTAGAGGAAAAGGAGATTTCAGACTTGGTCAAACTGACACTTTGACCTGATTCCACTTCGTAGCAGCTAAGGATTTCTTTCAGTTTTGAACATTGGGGTCTGGTTGCTTTGATGAAGGATATGCTATCATCTGCAAAGAGCAGATGTGAGATCATAGGAGCATTTTGACTAACTTTTAGCCCCTGAATAAAACCTTCTGCCTCTGCCTTAGCCGTGAGTGCTGAAAGTCCTTCAGCTACCAACAGAAATAAATAGGGGGAGATCGGGTCCCCTTTCCTGAGTCCTCTCGTGGGAAAGAAAGTGTCAGACTGGTGCCCCTTCACTAAAGCAGCATAAGATACTGTTGAGACACAGTACATTATCATTCTCACCCATCTATCAGCAAATCCGAGTTTCCTGATAATAGCTTCCAGGAATTTCCAACTAACTCTGTCATAGGCCTTTGCTATATCCAGTTTTGCTGCCATGTAACCCTTTTTTCCTTTCGTTATGGTTTTCATTGCATGAAAACACTCGAAAGCTACAATGACATTATCTGTTATATACCTCCCTGGAACGAAGGCACTCTGGTTTTCCACTACTGCCACTTTCAACACTTTTTTAAGCTTGTTCGCGAGCACTTTAGAGAAAATCTTGTAGAGTACTTTACACAGGCTAATGGGTCGAAACTCTGCAGGGGTCTTCGGCTTTTTAGTCTTAGGGATAAGTGCAAGAAGCGTGTGATTCAGAACCTGTGGAAACTCTCCCCTGTCCATGTATCCCTGTATTTCTTTTGTGACATCATCTCCTATAACATGCCAATACTTTTGGAAAAACATGGTCAGCATGCCATCTGCCCCTGGTGCCTTAGTAGGCCCCATATGCCTTAATGCATTCCATATCTCCTCCCTTGTGATAGGCTGTAGCAGCTCCTCATTCATTCTATCTGTTATTTTGCAGGAAATTGCATCAAGGACGTGAGAAGTCAGGGCTGGTGGGGCCGCCTTGAAGAGCATTTGATAATAATCTCTAATGCATAAGGTAACTGCCTTCTGTCCCTTTCGCTCCACCCCATCTTGATCTAGAAGGAAGTTGATTGTATTGCGATTTCGTCTATCAGATGCCTTTCTGTGGAAGAAAGGAGTATTCCTATCCCCTTGTTGCAGCCAGTCTGTGCGAGATCGTTGTTTCCAAGCCTCTTCCTCCAAATCCATGATTTCATTGAGCTCCTTTTCAATAGCTCTTCTTTGGGCAATCACTGCCCCATTTTTCTTTCGCTTTTCCAAAATGGTCAGAGCTTTCTCTGCCTTTTTCCTTCTAGCTACAAGGCTGCCAAACTTTAGCTTACTCCACTCTTTTAGATTATCTTCGCACTTTGCAATCTTTTCCAGTACTGTATCATTCGGGTTCCCCTGCCAGCTTCCTGACACCACCATCTCGCATTCAGGCTCTCTAGTCCAATAACTCTCAAAACGAAAGCTCCTTCCCCAATTCACCTTGTCTCTAGTAGGTGCCTCTTAAGAATTATAGGGGAAGAAGAAATACGACATTTTAAATGTAAAATTCTTTCTGTAGACACTCTTCCACTCTTTCTCACTCATTCCATGCGTGAGTAATTTTAAGTCAAAAGCTATTTTTAATTTTTAATTTCTTATACGAGAGGGGAAGAAGAAATACGGCATTTTAAAGGAGGGTTGCTAAATACCGTCCTAGTTTTGAATTATCTCTCTAACTTAATTACATTTTTATCCTTCTACTTATTTACTATTTACACCTGCGATATGTATATAAAACAAACAAAGATCATCTTCTCCATGGAAACAAGCGCCCTACCCCTCTTCGCCGCCGGTCATTAATCCCACATCGGTGTCGTCAACCGATGAGCGAAGAAGCTAACCGCTGGTACAGGAGTTCGATTTTGAATGCCCCCGTTGAACCGGAGGGATATGTTGGCAACCCTAGAGAACTTGAACCCTAATCAGAGAATAAATTCTTCCACGGACGCCATGGAAGATCTCGCTATCTCCGCAAAGTTGTTTCTTCTAATTGGCTAGAATTCCTTACCTTACGAAAATGTGGAAATCCCTTAATGCTCCAAGTCTGCAATTTATTTTACTAGCCACTGTTGTGGCTTACAAGCAATTGAAAGAACAAAAGCAGGGGATTGAATTACTGATCATAATGGCGGTGGCTCCTAGCAAAAGGAAGAGTTTGCCGGAAGAGATTCTGAAGGGGATTCAAAGTTGTAGCTTATTTGCAGAGTTCGATGATAGTTGGTTTTATACTGCCGGTGGATTAGAGGAAAGAGGAGGGTATTTTGATGATTTACATTTTAATTTTAGAGCGATTTGAATCATTTAAGGGTGACATTTAGCCATTCAGTTTTAAAGACGTCGTTTCGTCGTGCGATTAGAGGAAAGAGGAGGGTATTTTGATGATTTACATTTTAATTTTAGAGCGATTTGAATCATTTAAGGGCGACATTTAGCCATTCAGTTTTAAAGACGTCGTTTCGTCGTGCGAAGAGGTATATAAAAGAATAAAAAACCACTCGTTCTCATACTTGCTCAGTTTCAGACTACTTGCTTCTTTTGCTGCCACTGCTCCAGCTCCTAACAATGGCGGCCGCCGTCTCTGGCCACTGTGCTCTTCCAACTAATAAGCTCTCTCTCTCGTCCTCCTCCTCTTCCTTCTCCGGAAATGTCCTCGTCCGATTGCCCCAGCTCTCCCTCTTTTCGCGGCCGTCCAGGGCCATCGGAGGAAAAATATCCTGCCAGAGCTCCTCCGTCACATCTTCGCCGCCGTCTCCCGCCTTCGGGAAAGGTCAGTCCATCTTCCGCTTAAATCATCTCATTTCCTTTAACTCGACGGTCTAGAGCCGCTTCACTTATTGTTCCTTTTTTCTGTTGATTTCGTTAGGGTTTTGGATAGAATTGAATGTCCAAAGTAGTCTAATTTAAGTTGTGTAAACTGTGATCGCGATGCACTGAATCTCTATTTGCTACCCAAAATTTGGCAGTCTTAATTGGCTTGCCTATTCACTGAACTCTGTGTTTTGTTCAGAGAAACCACAATGGAATGATTTTCTTCACATTGACGATTTCGACAAGGCAACGATCATGAAGATGCTAGACCGGGCAGCTGAAGTGAAGGCATTGTTGAAGTCTGGGGAAAGGGGGTATCTTCCTTTTAAGGGGAAGTCAATGGCTATGATCTTTGCTAAGCCATCGATGAGAACGAGGGTGTCGTTTGAGACTGGATTCTTCTTGCTCGGAGGGCATGCCATTTACTTGGGGCCCGACGACATCCAAATGGGTAAAAGGGAGGAAACTCGCGATGTTGCTCGCGTGTTGTCTCGATATAACGATGTGATCATGGCTCGTGTTTTCGCTCATCAGGTATGCTGATGAGTGTTGTAAGTTTTGATTGAGTGGAACTCCTGAGTGGAATGATTAATGATTTTCCATTTGTAGGATATACTGGATCTAGCAAAGTATTCGAGTGTGCCTGTTATCAACGGCCTGACTGATTACAATCATCCTTGCCAAATAATGGCTGATGCCCTTACTATGATCGAACATGTCGGTCAGCTGGAAGGAACTAAGGTTTGTTCTGAAACTGTTCTTTATCTTCGTCTTATTCCATAGCTGGTTCGAGAGGTTGTCACCAATAACAAACAATGAAAGTAGAACTTTGTTTGGGTTTGTGTGTGTTTTTGTGTGTGTGTTTGTGAAGAATATTAAGAAAAGAGAATGATTATGAACTTCATGGAAATGACTACAACACTTAGGGAGTTTTGAGAAGAGGTCTACATCAAATTATAAGTAGCTCTTAATGGTAGAAGTTGGAAGCTCATTTGATTGGAAAGTTGGTTATATGATTAAGCGGATCCACAATTTTGTTGCATCTAACCAGAAAGTCATCTCTCGGTATGGACCATCTCTTCTGTCGTCCTTAGAATTTGGCCACTGACCTGCCACAAATTGCAGGTTGTTTATGTTGGGGACGGCAACAACATTGTTCACTCTTGGCTATTGCTAGCATCCGTCGTTCCTTTCCACTTCGTTTGTGCTTGCCCGAAAGGTTTTGAGCCAGACCAGAAAACAGTGGAGAAGGCACGGCGGGCTGGCATCAGCAAGATCGAGATAACAAATGACCCAAAAGAAGCTGTCCGTGGAGCTGATGTCGTTTACTCGGACGTGTGGGCCAGCATGGGCCAGAAGGAAGAGGCTGCACATCGCCGTCAAGTGTTTCAAGGATTCCAGGTCATTGTCTACTCGCGCGCCTTCTTCTCCTCCGTGTTTAGTTTTCTCCCGCTGCATTTTGAACTAATCCTCTCTTTGATTGATTCAAATTGGCAGGTGGACGAACAGCTTATGAAGTTGGCTGGTCCCAGGGCATACTTCATGCATTGTCTACCCGCAGAAAGGGGAGTCGAGGTTACTGATGCTGTGATCGAAGCACCAAACTCAATAGTGTTCGCTCAAGCTGAAAACCGAATGCATGCCCAGAACGCCATAATGCTTCATGCCCTTGGGTTGTGAGCTTGGCCTTAGTTGTCAATGAAGTAGTGCAAGTTAGTTGCGGTTGGACGAGTTTTGAGGACTGAGTTTAGTAGTCTTGTTTCCCTTTTCCAGTCTTTCTGTATGAGTTTTAGAAAGCTAGGAACTTGAATAACGGTTGCTTAGCCCGTAAGTTAAAAGACGACAAGGTACTTAAATTGTTGGCCATGTCTATTGGTCTTTCGAATGCATCGATAGCTCATTAAATTGTAAGGGCATTGAACAAACAATGAAATGCACGATATATACTATCGATGAACGACCCAAAAGCTTCCTTTTCCTTCTCTCCCAAGTCACTAAAGAATAACAGAAATGGCATTCCCTCCCTACCCCTTCCCCTCTTCTCCTTTTTCGTCTTTGTACAGTTTCTATACAAGCTATGAATGTAGTTCACTTTTGAGGCTATCGTGGTAACAAACTCAATCACCGATCTTCTGCACTGAATCTACTCCAGGCATCCTGAAAGAAACAAATATCACAAGAACTGTAAAGCCAGATTATCTAAGCTGTAGGGGAAAAAACTTGCACGAGAAGTTAACTTCAAGACAATAGCTCATAGATCCAGAGGCACTACTATTATATACCTTGAGAAGTTCGAAGACCTTCTCGCAGACATACTTCTGGCGTATGCTGGCACCGCGTTGCTGCAACTTGTCAGGATGAACGAAAAGAGTCGCCTTCTTGTAAGCTTTCCTTACAGCGGTTGCTGAGTTGAGATCTGTCCTAGGAATAGCTTGCCAACCGCTATCAGGACCAAGGATCTGCAGAGTTAAAACCATAAGAGCTTGAGAACTGTTGTAACCCGAAAAAGAGGCAATAGGAGTGGAACTGTTGTTTCTTTCCAGTAGAGGACACAACTGAATAGAAATAGATACATACGTAGTGAAGTGTTGAAAGTAGAACGCGCAAATTCCTTTCTTTCCCACTGGACCACCTTTTGATCTCAGCATCCAAGATTTCCGCCAGTCTCTGCAAATTATGTAAAGTTGAGTTGATGATGTTAAAGCATTAATCCTTACTAACAAATATCATTTTGATTGTTCCGTTAGATAACGAGCAAATTACATTTTTCTCAGCTTGCTCCTTCTGCACAAGAAGATCACGCATATTCTTCTCTGCCAGAGCTTTTGCCTGAGGAGAAACAAAGATGACATTTTGTTTAGAAGACAAAGAGTTTGGGTAAATATGATGTAGATCACAAGCAGGAGACATACTGCACGCTCAGCCATTTGCTGCTGCTTCTCCGACGAGGCTTTAGACTTCAAAGATGATGCACCGCTGGCGCCACCAGATACTGTCGAGTTGGGAACTTCACAAAGCAATAAGTGTTCAGTTTTCAGAAGTCGCTAAGGCAACAATTGAAGAAAATAATGGCTAAAGAGAGTTATATGGTTTCTATAGGTGGACATACCAGCATTATTCACAGAACTTTGATATCTTGAACTGCTTGAAGAACCCGAGCTTTTGTATCGTTGATCCTGGAAGAAATACGCCCTCAAGTGTCAATAAATACTTCAACAAACAAAGAGCAGTTGCAGAAAAAACAATGGTGAAGAAGATACTCACTGTGGACCTCCCATCATCCTTTGAAGGCGCAGGAGATTTATCACCATAATTTCTCCCCCTGACAGAAGCCTTCTCGGACAATGCTTTCTCCAGGGCACGCTCCCTCGCCTCTGCAGTTGCTCTTTCAACCGCAGCCCGTTCGGCTTTCAGTTTGGCCTCCGCAGCAGCTTTCTCCAATGCAGTAGCCCTCTCAGACCTTTCTCGAGCAGCCGCCTTTGCCCTCCGTTCTGCTTCTGCAGCAGCTCTCTCTGAAGCTGCCTTTTCTGCTTTCTCTCGAGCATCCGCAAAAGCCCGCTCACGTGCTTCTCGTATTGCCCTCTCCACCGCTATTCTCTGTCTCTCCTTCTCCTTCTCCAAGTCCTTTTCTGCTTCCTGTTTTCTTAGATGTTGCTTCCTTTCCACCCCCATGTCCTTCTCCGGGCTCTGTTTATCTTCTCTCTCTTGCATTTGCATGGTCTTGTAGTAAGCTAATTCGGTTTCATCAACAACGTTTTTACTCGTTTTCTGACCTGAAGATGCAGCAGCTTCATCGGTTCCTTCCTCCTCAGAAACACTAGATTGTTGACTCCTGCTTGTACCTACTCCATCATCCGACAATCTCTCCTCATCCAAAAATGGTGTACTATTGTTAGCAGGAGGAGGAACCTTATCATCTTCTTCCAAATCACTCAAGGCTTCTTCTACATGCTTTTCTGGTTCAGCATGTGACCTGGACTCAGTCTGATTAGGTGACACCTTTTCCTCACCAAGAGGTTGAAAATTATCAGTAGTTGCTTCACTCGTGCTGCTAACTTCGGCATCATCTACATTCTCTTTGCTTTCTTCTGATTGAGTAGTCCCCTCTTCAACATGCCTTTCAGGAATGGAGGTTCTTTCGCATTCTGCTGTACCGTCTTCAGTCTGCTGGCAGTTAAAGTTATAAGCAACTCCACCGGAACATACCCCATTTTCATCGATAATAAGGGGCTCCTGTGGCTCATCCCTTTGCACCCCAGCCCCATCAACCCTTGCAGAATCCCCCTCTTCTGCCGAGGGATATGTCTCTTCAACTGCTTCTGGCTCTTTTTCAATATCTCTGGGTCCATAGGAAGGCATAGTGGCCTCTTCATTCAGTCTAACAGCAAGCTCCCCACACACATGGATTTCATCAATCTGCTCAACATTAGTCTCACTCTCAGTTGACTTGTGCAACTTAGGAGCCACTTCAATATAATCATTCTGGCTTCTGGGAGGCTCTTGAGTAACCTTATCAGTTTCGTCCTCAACTTCCGACCTTTGATGAACCTCAGACTCCATTCTCTCAGTTTCTACAAATTCAGAAAAGCTGTCTTCTCCATGCCTGCCAATAGCATGTTTGTTCTCTTTGGCTTCTTCCTCAACCTTTTCCTTCACTTCTTCCCAGCCATTGGTTGGGGACATCTTTTCACCTGCATCCTCTAGGTCATCATGGCCAACCCTTACTTTTGATGTTTTCCATGCATCAACATCACGCGAAGTATTCACGGCATCATCTTGTCTCAGATCACAACTTTGAGGCTTCTTTGTTTCTCCCTCTTCACCGTCATGTTCTTGTTCCTTGTGTCCCTTGGCAATATTATCCAGCCATGATTTAACTTTAACCGTCCTCTCATCCTCCCTTGCTGCAGCTTCATTTAATCTACCTTTTAATTCCTCATGTTTAGCCTCACTTCCCAACTCACTATGATCACCTTTCAGCCGCTCTAAATTTTTTTCCGGCACTTCAACATCTGCTGGTCCCCGCAGCATTCTCATTATATTCTCAAATTTGTCCTGTAAAACTGATGCTTTCATCCTCTCCTTCCATTTGTTTTCATAACTACTTACTGTCACTTTCTTTGTTTTCTCTTCGTGCTCAACCTGTGTGATTGAAGGCTCGTACCCTTTGCTACTGGCAGCTTCTGGGGAACCATGTTCAGATTTGTCCTGTAAAACTGATGCTTTCACCCTCTCCTTCCATTTGTTTTCATAACTACTTACTGTCACTTTCTTTGTTTTCTCTTCGTGCTCAACCTGTGTGATTGAAGGCTCGTACCCTTTGCTACTGGCAGCTTCTGGGGAACCATGTTCAGATTTGCTTGTTCCAGTCTCTGCCCGTCTTGAATCAACTTCACTAAATGCGGCTTCTTTAGTGAGTTTTATAGTATGGGCAGGGCTAGCAATAGGTCCTTTGGTCTCATCCCTGAAGTCCAAAGTCACTCGACGGACTTCTGCTGAATGTTGCCCCAATGAGCCATTGAAAACTTGCTTCATTGGAGTATCATCTTTCCGGTACAATTCCTCAGCCTCTTCTTTGTATTGATAAGTTTTTTCAGTAGACTTGGCTTCCCTTTTCTCAGATTTCAACCCATGATTGACCTTTAGCCTGGAACGACTCTGACGACCTTCCTTTTTCCTCTCCATTAACTCTTTTGCAATCTTGATTTTAGCTTGAGCTTCCTCTATTGCCTTTCTCACAGCAGCTGCAGAAGCTGCAGCAGCCGAATTTGCATCCACTTCATCATCCAAGAAAGGTGGAGAGTAACTGCCAGCAGCAGATTTCGGAATCCCAAGTTTGGATTTCATCGATGATCTGTTGGAAGTATAAAAAGCTGCATCATTTGAGATGGAGCTAGATGTTCTGTGATGTTCAGCATGCTGTCCTGAAGGATTACTGAAAAGTAGTGGACCCGAGTAAGCTCTCCTCTGAGGCCTCGCTTCCTTCATCTCATCATTGGAATTAAGATGAACATCATTCAGCACATAACGACTGGACCTGGCACCTTCAGGAGACTGAGATGGACCATTTTCATCAATCAAGCGAGTAAAACCAGGAATGGCATGGAGCTGAGCAACATGTGTCATGCCACTTTTCCCCATTCTGCCTCCTGAGTTTGTCTTGTGATACAACACGTTGACGTGTTGAGTACCATCCATGGATGATTGAACATATGCTTCTGCTGACATTCTCTTCCTCTCATCAAATGCAGATTGCTCAGGAGCTGGGGAGAACTGGGATCTCAACTCAGCTGGAGCCCTACATAAAACATTCATGTTCACCAAAAAAGATGAAACTTCTCATCTATAATTTATTCTACCTAATGAGTAGCAAGAGATCATCAAGAAAAGCAGCTGGGGAGAGGAAAACAAAGACTTATAACGATAACCAGGCAAAATAAAAGCGGAAAAGGGCCAAACTGATCTTCACATTGATCAAGTTCCACCCAACTAACTCCCAAGACTATGGATCACACAGTTTTCTTTCCATTTCCTTTCTACTGTAACGCTTTATTCCATTAATTGGAACATCGAGTACTCTTTTGGCCAGTTGGGGACCAAAAGCAATCTCTTCCAATAGTGGAAAAGCGAAGGTTGTTTCCAGATTTCTTTCTAGCTAAGGCATTCAAGGAACGATCGACACTCTCGGGTCAGCAGGACTAAACAGACAAAATCAAACGTCTCTATCATCTGTGTTCCTTAGCTCTAGAGAACTACCAGTACGATTCTCCGATGAAGTTCATCTACGAAAGAGAAAGAACGAGCATCTAAGAGCGTTGAGAGAGGGAAAAAAAATTAACATACCGAGCTGCAGGAGAAGACTTCATCTCCTTCTCCCCTCTGGAAATCAACTCATCGTAAGGCATAGCAAAGTCCGCTTCACCGAATCCACCGAAAATC